TTGAGAAGGCAACATCGATATTCATAAGATGGTTACCTAAGCTTAAATATTTGAGAATTAACTTGTAACTTACCATACTGAGACAGTTAGCTTCTTCCTTCCAGGAACGTCCATTCTCATTCTATTAGGTTGAAATACAATCTCTTAAAACAATCACATCATATCAGTACAGTGAAAACTGACATTTTAGAAGGGGGAAGAGGAAGCTGCCATTGCCATGGCCAGGGTAGCTGACCACATGGGAAGGTTTTCAAGTTAGGACAACATTTTCCCCATGTGCCCCCTTCTCGTGGGTTACCCTACAAATTCCCTGAATCATAGATGAGGTTTTGATCTTGAAAACAGTAAGACCTGTTTGGTTGCTGGGACACCGCTGTCCCCCCTGCAGGTTGGAATTTGGATTGCCATATCCGCCAAGGCTAGCTAGCCCGCCCTTGCTAAGGGACCCTCCACACCCTAAAAATTTAGGTTTATGAAGACCAGCCCTTCTGTCTGCATGTCTTCTGAATTCTGATCCTCTCTCTAGCTAAAAATGACAAACACTCCCCATGTTTTGCAGCAGATGGGTTCTTTGTGGCTTTCTTTCTTACCCATTTGTTAATTTATGGGGTATTCATTCCTTGGCTTGTACCTTTCTTCATTGGTCAATTATTTTTCATTCTGGACATCATCTACAGGCTGCAGCAACAGCATTCCCTAGGCAAACATAGCTATGGTATAGTGTTACACGATAGCTCGCCATGCATATCTAATCATTTGTCGAAATAGTTTGAAGTTGCTTGTAGCCATTAAAGGCTAGCTCTCACGGAAATTGATGTGGAACCCATTAACCCTAAACTCCACTGGTAGTATATTAATGGGTTTGTCTCGAAAGAATTCAGAATAACTGAATTTAACAAATCATGCAAAGGTTGGGATTAGCTTCCCACTTTGTTTACTGATCTCAACATGCTTTTCCTGTGTGCTTAGTTTCTTTCGAAAAAACCACCAACACTAGGGTATGCTTCTGATAGTGACGTACAATGTGTTTTTTTAGTTTGATTTACACAGATTTAGAACTCTGTTACTATGATTTTGGATTAACTATAAGTAATCCTCATTTTGAGTTAACTTGACGAATGAATCTTGACCATTGGTCACCTTAATTTTTTGTTCTACATAAATGGTCTATACATAGATAACATTTTGAAGAACCTTCACATGCATAAGGACGACTAGTTTATCATATGATCCAATCAATCCTTTATTATCCCGCAGGTAGACAATTACAAATTTTTATATATATGCATTTCCTGTTGAAATCAATTGACCGTCATAAGTCACACAAACTATACACTACATATTACAGTACTCTGGTCGATCGATCTGATGAAATGGTCGACCAACATTTTCTACTTGGACTTTGACCTAAATCACTATAGACACCCACAATTTGTCATCTTTGAGAATACCGATTGGGTTGTTATCATCAAAATTATATACTTTCATGTGACGGAAATAACCTTCCGATTATAGGTACGCATTTAGACTCCTCTTATTAGGGCGAAAAACAATTATTTTGAGATCTGATAAGATCTCTCAGCTTTTTTTCGGGGTATATAATCGTATCATTTTGATTATCACTATATCATAGTTTTCCTTTTCCATGATTGTTTCGTTGCACATGATATATGAGGGCCACTCGATTCGGCCATTCTTGTTTCCTTGTGCAATTTGATAGTGTCGGTGCAATTTGTGGAATATGGATTGCTGTAACGAATGCGTAGTGGGTTCTTTCTTTCCCCTGGCTTTTCCCTTCAACTCGTTCTTGTATGATCACAAAGTGGTGATCGAGTTTGGCCCCCTCGTTAAAAGCCCCCAAAATCCAAATCATCATGGAAAACACGGGGACAAGGGGCAAAAAGGAAAACCATAAGTACTCGATCGACGACACATTCAAAATTGGCAACTGGATTCTAGTGCTGCAATATAACAATATACCTCCTAGGAACTGGCGGCATATATATATGATCAGAACTAGCGCCCCACAATTGATGGGATGTTTGGGTAGTCAATACAGTGTGATTTCATGTTCAATTGTGTAACATTTTGATGAATAACGGATCCCGACATCCCAAATTGATATACTATGTCGACGTTTAAAGAAGGAAGATGAGAGATTAAGCGAGATTTGAAGGTAGAAAGACGAGAAAAAGAAGGAAACGAGGGGGGGAGGGGAAGACGAGATTTAGAAAAATGTAGGAGAATGGATTATACATCTGTGACTTTCATAACAATCTTCCAATCTCAAATTACACGATAATACAAGTCAAGATTGTCTCATTTTATTCTTGATTATCGGCCAAACTCTACTAATAGTCCAATATTATTCTTCTTTTAAATTGCACTAGCAATTATATAATACGAATCGATGCTAGTTTGGTACCTACCACCTTAGCACTTTTCGCTAGTTTGATATCCCCCTACTCTGTATCAACCACATCGCTCGAGACTAGCTAATTCAACTCGATTCACCTCATTCAATAAATTTACACAGCTACTCGTTGAGTCTGAAAACAATATCCAACACTAGCACTGGGTCCCTTTCTATGCGACTAACTGAGGAATATAACTATGAAGAATAGCAAAGAATATGCTTCGTGATTCCAGGAATTAAACAGCCAGCAAATTTCTTTGTAATGGGAGGTCAAATCAAACTGAAATTTTATCGATATAAAATGCTATGTAACTGAATAAACTAACATGATATGTTAGTAGTGTAGCGAGGGAGAAGAGGAAAACCCTAATAAATGAAGTACTACCCTTCTCACAGATAGAGGTTAAGTTACTCAATTAATTGCATCATATGGCTTGCTCCTTGTTCTATGCTAACAAACCATGTCCTCAGTTCACAAAGTAGGCCAGTCCTGTTTTTCATAATTAAAAAAAATGCTCAAATGAAGTTTTTTTTATTTAATAATGGTGGTTTTAACGTCTACTTTATAGCGAGTTTAGAGGTTTCAGCTCCAATTTGATCAAAATCAACAAATAAACAAGAGAATCGCAAGGCGAATGAAATATGTGCTCTTCAAATAATAAGGAATGACCCGATAAAGCTAATCAGTCACAATATTAATGGCTTTTTAGGTGTGCTTCAAATGAACCTCACATGAAAGCACTATATATTACTGTCCTCCTTTTGCTTGGTTAATTTGTACATTTGCTAAATTTTTTTTTATAGTAGTATAATTAACTAATATGTTTTCTTTTTTTTATATTTATGATGGTTTTTATTACTAACAAGTTAGCTTTATTTTGGTATTTCATTATTATGTTGATGTGGATGGACAAGTCATTTATTTTAGGCCACATGCAGATAGATCACAAATTGTTTCATTACATAAATATATGTGTCGCTTTGCCTGTACTGTGCTCACTTTCATTAATGCTCAAGTGGGGTGTGTAAGTCTACGTTTTAATATATCTAATAATTTATCAATGATTATTTCACAGTGTTTTAGCCCTAACTATAGTAACTGATTGACATTTGTTAATTCACAGGTTAGAGTAGCTATTCTTCGGTGCTAATTTTTTTGTACACGACTTTTTGTTGTGTCTACACATGCTCGATCACAAATGAAGTGATTGTTCATCTTCATATATTTGATCGGCTCGTTGAAATGGCTATTACTTGGAGTTAACCAAAATTTTTTTCTTACAACAGACTATCCTCAATTAAAATATTTGTTATTAATTTGTGTAAGGATCATGATTGGCTTTGCAACATAATCGTGTTCAATCAACCGATCCAAAGTTAGGTGTACTTCAAATGCCACAAAAAATCAAACACCATAAATTTTCAAAATATAATTTTCGATTGAGTTGTTCATTGAAACTGATGGTTTCTCTTAGCAACTTGAATAATATGATATAAGTTTGGTTTTAACCATAAGTAAATTACATCTTCTACCAATTGAAGGGTTCCACTCGAGCTTGTGTTGTGTGAGATGTTTAGCATACAGCCAACTCTAAGCTTTACACTTAATTTTATTTTTATCAACAAAAAACAAAGCTTTACACTTAACTGGAGTTTTAGCTAGGGTTTTAACTTATTTAGTTATTTACTTTAGACTATCTCTCTGTTGCAGAGTACATGGATAGTGGATACAGCCTGTTGTCCTTTAAACGAAAAGTATGCAGCTAAGCCAGGCACAGCCGCGTGGACATCATTTAATTAACACCATCTTATTATTATATGTGGACTAATCCAGTTGCTAATTCAAGTCTTAATATAAAGACTTAAACCAGAAGGTTCCTACTTCCTAGTAATTGATGATCATATATGGGATAAATAGATAAAATATACTGACTATACCCGATATTTAGCTTTTCATCTTTTTCCTTAATCCAATGTTCTTTTTCAGAGACAAGATTAGGGATGACAATGGGTCGGATCGGGGACGGATAGTGCATATCCGTTACCTTACCCAAAGTAGTTCGGGTTTTACCCATACCTATACCCACATGTGAAACGGGTAGGAAATTAAAACCATGTCCATACCCGCTCGGGTTTCGGGTATCCACGGTTATCCATGGGTAAGGATTTCTCTTCATAACTCCAACCAATATGTTAACAATCACACGTATTCTCACATTACGTAAGAGGAAAAGTATGACAATAATTCACTAGAATGAAGAAAATTAATTAAAACAACACAAATTCATGAAAATATTATATTTATATGTTAAATATAAAATATGTTAGAGAAAAATAATGATTATTTCTAGACAAAATACATATGTATGTGAATAATCGGGCGGGTTCGGGTTGGATAGTGAGAAACCCATGCCCACCCATTACCCGCAATATTCGGGTTCGGGTTTTACCCGTACCCACTAAATGTCCTTCGGGTTCGAGTTTTACCCTACTCGATTAGGCCGGGTTCGGGCGGATATCCACGGTTACGAATATTTTTGCCATCCCTATACAAGATAACTGAAAAAGCAATTATAGGTAAAAGATAAACCAGAGCCATCCCAAGTCCCAACTAGTAGCCATATCCCTATTCCCTGGTCTTTGGTTCACTTACTTTAAATATTCAGTTAGTCATTGTAAGAGTTGTTCAACTTATATGGTGTACAAGATGTGAATCCATTTTTACGTTTTTTTTTAATATTATAAATCTTGTACATATTTTTGTCGTTCGATTTATAATCAAGCAACTACAACGCACATAGACGTGATACCTACGCCTACCAGATTCTACAGGATAGTAAGCTTCTCATTCTCATACTCATTGTGAGATGTGAATTACATGAACCCACTGCTACATTCGTTTTCTTTCTCAATCGTATGCACATTATAATCGTTTGTGCATGAACTATTATACCTACAACATTCAATAGGGTAGCCATATTCATCCCTATTTTTACATGCTTATTATGTATATGCAAAACAAGAATCTACTTCTAAATTCTTATTATTTATCGGTCCTTTGTTGTCGTCCGATTCACAATCAAATGAACAAAAATGTATGAGTACAATACTTACACCTACCACATTCAACACCTTGGCCAGATTCATTCCCATTTCACACCCAATTTTGGTCCTAAAACTATGAGCTTTCTTCTCTTGTTGTTTTGTCAAGGCCATTTTTCTGTTAAGAATTAGTTGTGGCCTCCCTAAAAGTCATATAATTTACAATTTCCATTCCGGTGGTCCAATTAATAATCACTTTCCCCTCTCACATTATGGGCTTCTCCTCTGTTTCCAATTCCCCAGTTCTTTTCTTTCCAAATTCCCCCATTTTTAAACTCTTTAGAGGGTCCTCCTCCATTCCATAGACCATAACTTAATCAAAATTCTGCACCGGCTTAGGAAAATGTTAAATTAATATGTAAGAAATGTGCAAACATGATCTCCAATTTGACTTTCTATTCAACCAATCAGACGGTGATGATCAGCAGCAGGAGTAGGCGAGCCCCAACTGGCGACTCTCTGATGCGCTGAACTTAAACTTCTCTTCTTCTAATGTTGAAAAACAACTCAGATGAGTAATAAGATAGCTGGATCCCGCCATTAGAGCAAGTAAATATCAGCATATTTGACTCTTCTTCTCCCCTCTTATATATTGGTCCTTCATAACAAACCAGAATCAAAAAGCAACCCCCTTTTTCCCCCAGAGGAAACTTCTCTCTCTTTCCTCTGTTTCTCTCTCATTTCTCTGTTTTCCATCACTTGTCTCAATCTCAAGTTCGCTGGATTCCGTTTTCCCATTTCTGATCTCATAAAAACCCCTCCAGATTCCAGTACCGAGAAATCGAAGATGTTCAGAACGCAAACCTGAATTCGAAGGCCGACCCGATTCTTCATTCCAGAAATCCTGATCTGGGTACTCCCCTGTTTTCCAAGAAGATGGCTCCAAGCTCGGTGGTTGTCACCATCGAGAAGCCAAACAACTTATCTGTAGTCCAAATCAACGCCGCCACCGCCGGCGACGATTCGCCATTGCTTCCTGCCGACAAGCAGAAAGCGGCGAGCCCCAAGCAGTTCACCTTCTCCATTCTGCTCAAAATCTACAGAGCATTCAGTTGCATCTCATGGCTCGCAGTCGGATCCAATTCCCTCTTCAGATCGATCAAGAAGAGGGTCTCCCAATCCGAGGCCTCAGCCGACGAAGTAGAAGAGCAGGACATGGAGCCCAGAAGTAGAGGGAAGCTATACAACTTTATTAAAGCGTTTCTCGCTATCTCAATCGGCGCACTTGTGGTGGAAGTCGTGGCTCACTACAAAAAGTGGAATTTGAATCTCGTCCAGCCGCCGTGGGAAGTTCAGGGGCTAGTCCAATGGTCTTACATGGCCTGGCTCTCGTTCCGGCTCGATTACATTGCTCCCACTGTGATGATGCTCTCCCAATTCTGCATCGTCTTGTTCTTGATTCAGTCTCTGGATCGGCTCGCGCTCTGCCTCGGCTGCTTCTGGATCAAGTTCAAGAAATTGAAGCCCCAAATTAACGGCGACGATTACGATGTCGAGGACCCTTCTAGTTTCCCAATGGTTCTTGTCCAGATTCCAATGTGCAATGAGAGAGAGGTAAGTAAAGTTGCCGACTTTCTATTTGATTTCCCAGATCTGAATTTTCTGTCTTTATCTCCCTGTTTTCTTATTGGGGCTTTGTTCTTTAGGTTTACGCGACATCAATCGGGGCGGCCTGCCAGTTGGATTGGCCCAGAGACAGGCTGTTGATTCAAGTTCTTGATGATTCAGATGATCCGAATCTGCAGCTTATGATCAATGAAGAGGTTCATTCATGGCGGCAGAAGGGGATTAATATCATTTACAGGCATAGATTGATTAGAACAGGGTACAAAGCCGGAAACCTTAAATCGGCAATGGGATGTGATTACGTTCAGGACTACGAATTCGTTGCCATTTTGGATGCCGATTTCCAGCCCAACCCAGATTTCCTCAAACTCACGATCCCCCACTTTAAGGTAACTACCCATTTATTTATAGCCTTATATTCCTCACCTACTCTTCAATTATGGCAATCACGATTTGTGTATTGTTTATCTGTGAGACACTGACATTTGACACTACCTAGATGATTTTATTTCATTACGAGTTACATAGTTGTGTCATAACATTGATGATTATGCGAATTATCAACGAAATTTTTAGAATTTTAATTGTCAACTAAATATAGATATCATAAATATTATCGAAACACTATGTATAAGAGTATCATTTCAAAATATATGAGCTATAATTGTCATTTTTCTATAAAATTGGAACCTTTAGTTGGGATTCATTCCCACTAGAATTCGATCCCATTCTGGTGGACCTAAACGCTAAATGTCACTAATATCACTAGCACACTAATGTGTGCGCCACAATTTGATTTAGAATCCTCAATCTAGCAAAGTTCAGACCATCTGACAGTATTAAACCAAACGGAAATCACGAGAATTTGAATTCCACCCTGTTTTGCTTGTCTTATATATAACGTTAAGTGGGTTGCGGTTCTGATTGCAGGGGAAGCCAGAGGTGGGTTTGGTGCAAGCTCGGTGGTCATTCGTGAACAAAGACGAGAACTTGCTGTCAAGGCTACAGAACGTGAACCTGTGCTTCCACTTCGAGGTGGAGCAGCAAGTGAACGGCATGTTCTTGAACTTCTTCGGGTTCAATGGGACTGCAGGGGTGTGGAGGATCAAGGCGTTGGAGGATTCCGGCGGTTGGCTTGAGAGAACCACGGTGGAGGACATGGACATTGCAGTAAGAGCTCACCTGAATGGGTGGAAGTTCGTGTACCTCAATGATGTTAAGGTTCTTTGTGAGTTGCCGGAGTCGTATGAAGCTTACAAGAAGCAACAGCATCGGTGGCATTCTGGGCCTATGCAGCTCTTCCGCCTGTGCCTCCCTGCCATTCTCAAATCCAAGGTCGGTTGCATCCCCATTACTTTGCACTTAAGTTCATTGTCATTTGTAGAGGATACTAGGGTTCCAACTTCCAACATTGAATCTTTCGACCCTCGAAGATGCTTAAAATATATCAAACCCAATTCGTCACAGTAAATCGAATTGTTAGATTGTTTTGTTGTAACACTTTTTTTCTTGTAGTTAAATTTCAGCTCAATCATGTCAAGTCATAATCTTTTTTTTGTTGTTGTTATTTGCAGATATCAATGTGGAAGAAGGCCAATTTGATCTTCCTCTTCTTCCTACTAAGAAAACTAATCCTGCCCTTCTACTCCTTCACCCTATTCTGCATCATACTCCCACTAACCATGTTCATCCCAGAGGCAGAGTTGCCACTCTGGGTAATCTGCTACGTCCCCATTTTCATGTCATTCCTCAACATCCTCCCATCCCCCAAATCCTTCCCCTTCCTTGTACCGTACCTCCTCTTCGAGAACACAATGTCGGTCACGAAGTTCAACGCCATGGTCTCGGGCCTCTTCCAGCTCGGGAGCTCGTACGAGTGGGTCGTCACCAAGAAAACCGGGCGGTCATCAGAGTCGGACCTGCTAGCCCTGGCCGAGAGGGAATCGAAGTTGGCCCCTGCCGCGGCTGGCGAAGAGAAAGCTACGATGTTGAGGAGGCATTCGGAGTCCGGCCTGGAGCTGCTGAGCAAGCTCAAGGAAGTGGAAGCCGAGGTTGCTGGGGCGCCGAAGAAGAAGAAGAACAGGTTGTACAAAAAGGAGCTGGGGCTGGCTTTCTTGCTTCTCACGGCAGCTGCCAGGAGCTTGTTGTCGGCTCATGGAGTTCACTTCTACTTCTTGCTGTTCCAAGGGCTGTCGTTTCTCGTTGTTGGGTTAGACTTGATTGGGGAGCAAGTTAGCTGAAAATAGAGGGAATTGCGGGTTGTCAATTTAATTGATTGATTTCGTTTTGGACCGGGGCATGTTATAAGCCAAGGTTTTTTGTGCTTATACGAAAGGAAATGATTTGGTGAAGTGGAGTTGGGGATGGTTGAGTGAAATCGAGATCAAATGGTCTCGATTGGGTTGGGGTAATATATGACAGAGTGGAAGGAAAAGAGACGATAGATAGGAAAACTTTTTTTTTGTTTTGTGATTTGAAACGGTTAATTAGATTTAAATTGAGTTTGTACAATGTAATTTTTATTCAATGTACCAATAATAGTAATTATAATTTATAACATTTTTCATTTTGCAAGCTCTTCTCATAAATTTAGCGGGGAAAGTATTGAGATTTGGCCTGAATTGAATCAGTTGAGAAATTATAATTTATAACATCTTTCATTTTGCAAGATTCGGGTGAGAAAATATCCTTAAACCAAATATGATTAACTCGGTTTCATATTTCAATTTTGGGCAAAAATAAAATTGAAACCCAATTGTTTCTTAAACAATTTTAAGAAAAACCAGATCAAATGATTCCAATCCCATCCTGGCCTTATTTCTTTTTCTTCCCTCACTGTTTGCTTTTTCTCAGATGGAAAAGGCAGGGCTTTTATTTTTGCTTTGCTTTGCTTGCCTAGCATGCCATGTCTCCTCCCCTTGTTACCTCTCATAAGTCCTAACAAAGGTATTTTTATGACTTGGTCACTCTCTTCCCTTTTGGTGGGTTATGCTTGAATTTTGTTGCTGAATTTTCTGCAGCTGTCTTCTCCCGACGTCCAGTAACTTTTCAAATTCCGGCAGTTTTGGGTGTCAATCGTCGTCGGGAGCGGAAGCACTTGCGATTTAGGCTTAATCATAAGCTGTTAGACTGGACTCTACTACCACGGCAAGAGTAGAGGGTCGAACCGTGGGAGAAGTGAAGAAAGAAAGAAATCGACCACTTTCCCCTTTTACCTCGTTTCAACCCATAACGTCATCTCTCCTTCTTGCTTCCGCCAGTTCAGTCCAAGCTTCTAAAACCTAGAAAGGAAGTTGATTCTCAGCTATGGAGCGAGAGAAAGATGCTTTCTATGTTGTAAGGAAAGGCGGCATGATCGGGATCTACAAGAGCTTCCCGGACTGCCTAGCTCAAGCCGGTTATTCTGTAAGTTGTTGCTTCTCCCTTCATTTACCCAATCGCTCATTGATGAAATTATATTGTGGGTACTCTTCATTTTGATGAACGACTGCTAAAGAGGATTTCTTTGACTCCTAGTGGATTGGCTACTTAGGTTATTTTGTTGCTTTAAGTATGAAAACCCTTCAACGTTTTGCTCATTCTTGACATTCTGCATGTTCCTTTTGGCGATGTCTATTCTTGGATTACTCACCTGCGGCATGGTGGTTTTATGCTAGGTTTCCGATCCTTCAGTGAGTGTGTTCAAAGGATATGGTTTGCCCAGAGATGCTGAGGATTACCTTGCATCACTTGGGCTTAGAAATGCTGCTTACTCTGTCAGTGCCACCGATGTTAAGGCTGATCTCTTTGGGAAACTTGAGCCTTGCCGCATCCAGGTAGCTTACAATTTAGGAAAAAAGGCTTTCTCATGGGTGTATGGAATCTCAGTCAATGTGGATACTAGAACTTCAACATTTTCTTTGCGAAGTGCTTTACTGTTTTACCAGTTCTGGTCATTTGCAATTTTTGTTGTTTTAATGCCTTCTTTTCTTGAATTTTTATTTACCTGATCAAGATTTTGATAGTAGTTTTGCTGTGGTAAGGAGTGTTAGTTTGTTTCTTTGTAGTGTATCTTTGAAGTGTCATCTATAGGCTTACACATTGGTTGTTGTTTCTGTCAGCCGCCAGCTTCAAACAAGGGGTCTTCTTCAGAGCGCTATCAGGAAACACCCACTGTACATGTAAGTCCTTAGCAAGTATGGACATAGCATTTCTAGTATTGAGCATATCTCTAATTGTTATGAACTAGAAACTTGACATCTTAATCCGTGGAAGTATGCAGATTAGTGGTTTGTAACAATCATTTTGTCAATCAAGTTTTACATGTCAGTCACTTTAACATCGTGATTAACTCGCTGTTCAAACGTTTGGTTGCTCTTTACCTTTTGTGGAACAGAGGTGTGGAGTGGCTATAGTCATGGAAACCTCCCCAAACATGTATCCAAAATTACAGAATGATGGAAGCAGTAACCCAGTTCCAACCAGCTCAATGAGTTTCTCAGTTTCGTTGTTCCTCCAGCATGCAATGCTGGACTACGACCTGCAGGATTCTGTTTCCTAAGTTTCATTGCGTGTAGGCATGCCTGAACAGTTTCATTGTGGTGATTGTTCTGAATTGTCTCTGTGGTTCTAGGTCAACCTCTTTAGATGAAACTAATCTTTATCACATGTCCATAAGATCTCCCTAAACATAAATGTTTGAGAAAGGTGATAGATCTATGCATCATAGAGGACTCAGATCCTAAACCTAATTCAACATTGTCATAAACAGTTGTCCTTACAAATACATCAGTATACTACATTGTTCTAAAGCTCTTTTCTTTTAAATAACCGTGTTGAGTGTCTTTCCGATGTCTCAGTTTCTCCATACAATTATTTGAGTCATATTAATCTGATGTGTTACTGATTTGATTTGTGAGCTTTACTAGCATATATGTTTCTAACGGCAATGTGAATTATTATGTTTAACCCCAGTCGCCAGCGATCATTTATTTTGATGGTGCATCAAAAGGGAATCCTGGACCAGCTGGTGCAGGAGCTGTTTTGTGTTCCCCTGATGGAAGAATGGTAAAGCAAGTTCTCCTTGACCTGGCCAAAAGTTATCTTACGGTTTGCTATATTTTTCTTGAATTAAATTGTGCAGGTTGTCATCTGGGTGTTTTTTGGTGCAGGTATGGCGTTTCTCTGAAGGTGTGGGGCTTGCAACGAACAATGTTGCTGAATATCGAGGTGTGATTCTGGGAATGAAGCAAGCACTCAAAAAAGGGTTTAGAGACATTCGTGTACAGGGGGATTCTAATCTTGTCTGTATGCAGGTTTGTTATATCATTCATGTGCATGAAGTTATAGTCATTTTCAACTGCACTGCAATCCATGCTCGTAGTCCTTACTGTCTGATTGTGTGGACAGATTCAGGGCATATGGAAGTTAAAAAACCAGAACATAATTGCATTGGGAAACGAGGCAAAAGCGCTCAAGGAAAAGTTCCGTACTTTTGAGATCAGGCATATTCTGAGGGTAAGTACATATGCTGATTTAGAATCGTTTGTTTACTGTTAATGTGGTCTGAATTTGAGGATGATGAGAAACCAATTGGTTATACCAGGAATTCAATTCTGAAGCTGATGCACTAGCAAACCAGGCTGTTCAGCTCAGGGGTTAGTCATATCCCACCCTTGAACCTGCACATCCATTGTTACCTATCATTATTATCTTCCATCTTTAGTGGTTTATGGTGTTCCTCTGATTCTCTGGTGCTTAGTTTTTGGGTCTGACAAATTCTGTTGGTGATCATTTATGCAGATGGGCAAGTACACGAGGCTTTGATCACCAAGTAGTTTGACACCATTTGAGGTTGGAGTAAAGGGTCAAAATTTCAGCTCCAGGCCAGGAAGGGGTAGGGATAGAAATGACTTCAGTGCAGCAACTTGTTTATATGTTTTTGCTTAGCTTTTGGGCTTCTTGAAGCTAGATATCACATTGCAGCTTCCAATGTTGATAATATAACCTGTTAGCAATTGAAATGGACGGCTCTGATGTAAGCTCCTTTATGATACCTTCATTCTCACCCTACCTTTTCGTTTCGGCTGTATTACAGGAATGGTCACTGAACTTTGGGGTCACTAATGAATCAGTCGATTAATTATAGTTGACACATTCTAAGAGTTGAGTACCACATGGGATAAAGATAACGGAATTGGATGGAGAGTGACCAAATTTGAACTATTGAATTAATTTTAGTGACCACAAATAGAATTAAATATTTCCAATTACCAAACATGAACCTTTTTAATAAACCTAGTGACCAAACTTGCAATTTACCCGTTTGAAATAACTAACTAACATAACAACTATGCATTCTCTTCATATTTTTGGGATTTTTGATCGAGTTATCCTTCATTAAATCAAATAAATTGTGAAAACTAGTACTTAGATCCTAATAAATTGTAGACATTATGGACTCTTTCATCATATCCATGATTCGATTTTAATCCGCACTCTCCAAAATCATTATAATGTCCTTCACCCTTTAGCTTTAGAGGGTTTTCGATTACTTATCAGTAAGGGCTTCCGATTACTTGTAAGGGCTTCCGATTACTTATATCTATTACTGATTTGGGGAAAAAATCCAAAAATACACGCATTATTAAAAGAAAATCCCAAAATACATACGTTATAAAAAATATTCTCAATCAACACATGTTTGGGCTTCACCGCGGTTGTCAACCGCAGTGAATAACATCACCGCGACCGTCAACCGCGATGAATGCTTCACCGCCAATGTCCGAAGCGGTGTCAATCACCGCTGGTGTCCCAAACGGTGATGGACTAATTTGGGTATTGGCCAAAAGTCCATGGCTGGAGTTGCTGTTGCGTTGGCACTTGACTGAAATGGAGGAAAAAAATCCCAGTACTTTTGGGTGCTTGATCGCCATCGCACCCAGCGTCGACCACAACCGTGTCGGATGCTTGAAATCCTTCGCCGGCTCAGGCACCGCCGGCCCCGGAGAAACTCCAGCGCCCTCGACCGCACGTCCACACTCCGCCACGATCTCCGATGCTCCGTTGGTGGGAGGACCAGGAGGAGCAGTTCTTCTTCTTCTTGTTCTTATTCCGGTTGCGGTTGGCGTGGTCGCCGCCGCCGCCGCAGCTTCATGATGTGTCGTCGAGCAGAGATGTGGTGGTTCATAATCAACAACCCAGAACCACTAATTATATACCTCTTGCCAAAACAAAACAGAGGTCCATCAGCTGCAACCATTGGAGTTTACAGCTCCCCCCTCCAAGAACTCGCCCCTACAACAGGGAACTCGAACCAGAACCATAAGAAGAGGAAGCCACCCAAATTAGGCCATCACTGCTTGGGACACCGGCGGTGAATGGACAGGGTGATATTCACCGTTTCGGACAGTGGCGGTGAAGTATTCATTGCGATTGACCGCCGCGGTGATGTTATTCACTGCGGTTGACGACCGCGGTGAAGCCCAAACATGTGTAGATTGGGAATATTTTTTATAACGTATGTATTTTGAATTTTTTTTTTAATATCGTGTATATTTTTGGATTTTTTTCCTGATTTGGTGTATCAATACACTAGTGTCGACACAATTAAACGAAGAGCCTGACAAAAAGATTGTTACTCTTTCTTATTCCTAGTTTACTTGTTAGTGACAAGTTCATTAAGAAGCAAAATTCAGTGGGTAATTTGTTAGTGATACGAAGTTCAGTGACCGTTTAGTAATTGACCCCTTTGTTTTCTGGAAAGCATCCAGTTTTGTGGATGAATTGGATAAAATAGAGTGCGAAGTGTCGAAAGGCCAAAAGCTCTGTTGCAATTGAATTCAATCACTCGACAATGGTGACGTTCGCAGCTTCATCCTCGACTCTGCCCTCAATATCTACTCCCAATTCTCACTGGATTCCGCCTTCCAAGTCTTTACCCCTTCCCACTGCCGTCCACTTCCGAAGCCATCAACTCTGCATTTCTTTCAACGCCGTCGTGCTGAAGAGTCGGAATTCCCGCTGCTCCTTAATATTGAGGTCAGCCGAGCAGGATACCTTAATCCCAGAACAAGAAGAGCCAGTCGCAACCCAGGAAGACGCTGCTGCTGAACAGCAGACCGTGTCTGTCCCTGTCTCTCCTTCCGACACTCTTACCATGTACTTTGATGTAAGAAAGTTCGAAGCTTTCTCTTTTTAGCTTCTCAAGTTTCGCTTCAGAAGGGTGAAAGACTGAACATTTCACTTGGGTTTGTGATTTGTTTTTGTTTGTGTTCTTGTGTTCATGCGAAGTACATTGCTAATTGCTTTTTGATTCAATATGGAGTGCATTCTTGATGAGAGATGTTTTTGGGTAACTGTAGGCGGAGGGAACCATGAGCGACGCAGCTATTCCCGCAGTGACCAGGGCTTTAGAGGTAACTAACTGCACAACTTCGTCATTATCTCTATACATTTATCAGTTCATTATAGATTGAAGATAATGTTCTAGTAGTTAAAATCCAATTCTTAATTGAAGATAATCCAGGCGTCTAAGCTAAATCCTTCCATGTATTCTCTTTTTATTTATTTATATATATATACCTCTGCTGATATGCTGGAACCAATTGTCAGCAAGTTAGTGTCTTTCTTGATCTGTAGAAGGATTAGTGAAGAATGGGATAAGAATTTGGTTGAACTAGAGGCTTGAGTTCATCTTTTCTCCTTGCATATGCTGTATACAAAAGGAAGGGACACTTTTAGTTCCTCTCGAGTCGGGAGTATAGCAAGTGTTTGATAACATGAGCTTCTTTCTTTGTTGATTGTTTACTTCAGTCCCATATATTTGATTTCTTGGTCATTGAATCTTGATCACTTCTTTATTATGCAGGGGGCTGAAGGCGTTGGAGGATTAAAGGTTCAAGTGCTCGAGGGTATTGCCAGTGTCCAGGTCTGAATCCATACCTTTTGCTGCATAACATACTCCACATCGATTGCTAGAAGTATTTTGAGGGAGAAATGTTACATATGGTTCCCTTTATGAATTGCAAGGACAAATGTAGGTTTTATTCATTCATTGTCTATGGCTAATCTGTTTTTGAATGATGACCCTTTGGATTTCTGTATTCAATTCAGTTAACAAAGCAAACCACAGTGCAAGCAACAGGAGTGGCGTCTAGTCTTGTGGAGCTCATACAAGGTTCAGGTTTCAAGTTGCAGACTTTGAATTTGAGTTTCGAGGACGAGGAGGATCTCGTAGCTTAGATCAAGCAAATTTTTGTAAGCCAAACAGGAGAGTAAAAGTACTTCAAAGCATGTATCTTGTCGAGCATGAAGAAATTGTTTATCTATATCATTGTATCTGATAGGTTTGCCAATGAATTATCTCGAGATGAATGGAGGATAATGCCATAATTCTAATCCATTCTTGAAAAGATTGAACCTAGACATGTTGGTTGCCAGCCTATCGTCGATGATGGTGCCCTTGACATCCTGACCAGTTGGGGACGTTATAGCATGTTTAGAGTACAGGGGCAGGTTGTATATCATCATTGCAATTAACAACATTTGTTCGACTTAAGAGTCTCAAGACCTGTTGCAGAATGAAGTGAATGGGAATACTGATTGATCAACATGCGCCTAATAATAATAAGCCAGTCTGAAACTGGAGTAGTAGTTCATTTATTACAGCAGAAGGTTCTGTCTTGGCCCAGCAAGCTCACAGCAGTTAGAAGACTTTGTGGTGATACTTGATAGCTTCAGCAAGTCGACAAAACCATATTATGTAATATGTCAGAAGGTACTGGTGGCATGTGTTAGTTGGACTAGACATCATTTTCCTTTGTTCTATATATACTTGTTGTATAAATAGTAGATACATGCATAAGCTCTCCACTGCACCGCACCAGTCAATACTAGTATTACTACTACCACCCTCTCTTAGCTTTCTTCCCACTATGGACAAGCTTGCTCTATTTTCTACTCTCCTGCTACTCGGGCTGCTCCTGCTTTCGTCGGACGGCATTCCGAGCAGTACTCGACCCACATGAACAACACAGCGACGACATCATCCCCATCGCTTACGATCCAGCAAAAGAGGTGAAGCTGATGTACCTAGTGGTGCAGTGGCCGCCGGCTATGTGCCGCTTCAAAACCTGCCATCCACGGCCTCTGGCCGCTTGGTGGGTTGACGCACCAGAAAACCTCCTTCAGGTAGGGGGGGGGGGCGTCGTGACTCCTTTATCATTGACGCAAACCACCGAGGGCGTGACCCCTTGCTTTACCAGCACCGTCGCGACGTCACCCATTTTGGGTTCCTCACCAGCCTTTATACCGGAGTCTGTGAGGAGCTTCAAGGTATTGACTTGGTGCTTGACCAACCAAGCGACCAGAGGCCGTGGATGGCAGGTTTTGAAGTGGCACATAGCCGGCGGCCACTGCACCACCAGGTGCATCAACTTCACCACTTTTGCTAGATTGTAAGCGGTGGGGACGATGTTGTTGGCACAAGCTTGTTACTGAGGTACTGCTCGGAACGTTGTCTGACGAAAGCGGGAGTAGCCCGAGAAGCATGAGAGCAAAAAGTAGAGCAAGCTTGTCGATAGTGGGAAGAAAGCTAAGAGAGGGTGGTAGTAATACTAGTACTGGCTGTGGTGCGGTGGAGAGGTTATGCATGTATCTACTATGTATACAAGTATATATAGAACAAAGGAAAATGCTGTCTAGTGCAATCAAGTAACAACCAAATACATGCTTACGAAAAAAATGATATTCTGGACTAGTACAATTTGTTAGGGTTTATTTAAAGTCACACATGCACCTTCTACCTACAAATTCTAACAACCATATATCTGCACACCAAAGAAATGATAGAGTAGTGTTTGTTATGGTTTTCTTATATATATCGACTCACACAACTTGGCCCTTGCAACTGCAAATTCTAACAAATAAATAGGTGTCATAAATAAATAAATTCATTCTCACTTCTCTCTCTCTTTTTTTTTTTTTTTTTTTTGCAAAATTCTCACTTCTGTCTTTTTCTCCAACAAATTTTGATACGACTTGCAATGGATAACCAAACTTCATTTCATCAATACTATCCAGTACAACTTGCAACTTGTACTAACTACAATAAACCTGCAGTACACCAGCAACAGCCTACCCATGATCTACCATATTATACCAGTAAGCTAAGGTCCCCTGCAAAACTCAATTGCTAATCTACTAATTACTTATCATCAAACACCTAAGGAAGTGGTCTTCCGCGAATCAGTTACACATCAATTAATCTCAATTTTCGTCTCTGATGAGCTTCTCATGCACTATATGAGCTGTTCTTGCTCTGTTTCTTGCTGACTAATTTGCACGGCAGTCTTTTGATCGCTGAAACTCTTGTAGGGAAGGATAATTTGTGTTTGTGAGTACTAAATCGAAATGTGGCGTTTGATTAGCTGCGCTGATCTTATAAGTTCTCTTGGGCCTGGATTGATTAAAATTTAAAACAAACACCACATGATCCGTACGAATAAAACAAATATTGGGTTGTTCTAAACATAAACGAGCAAGCTATGGGCTTTTATTGACAAAGAAACAAAATGGTAAACGAGTGACTAAGCATCTGATTTAGCCCATCAAATCAAAACCTGCCGTATAGAGTATCAACTAGCAAGACATCAAATAAATATACCACAACATCATCATCCACAAATATCATATAAACAAAAACTATTGGGGGTGCAACGAGGAGTCATAGATGGGTGATTTTGTTAGCAGTTAACCATTAAGCAATGTATAGGTAACCGAAATCGAACCACTAAAAAAGTATTAGTTATCTGTTAACAACTACCCGTCGTTAATTTTAATGGTAAAGTCAACAGGTTTCTAAATAATTATGATTATTTTATCACTTTCATTTACTTCTAATTTAGTGTTATGATGACGTGGAAATTGTAAAAAAATAATTTCTATTTTTAATTATTTTTAAATTGCCACGTCCTTCATATAATGATTAACTATTGAACTAATTTTAGTGACCTAGAATGAGATAAAAAAATTTAGTGGTAAATGTCAAATATTTTAGTAAACTCAATGACCAAACTTGCAATTTATCCTTTATTATGAACATTGCTATTCGTCGCCCTAAAATACCTTATTCGTCGCCCTAACTTTTATTAAAATTACTTAAATATCCTTAAGTTAATTCTTATCTTTCAAAACATATATAAACACTAAAACAAAGTAACAAACACATACAACTATGTTTAATAACAAAATAAAATAGCGAAATTAATGAATTACAAGTTACAAATACACCAAAATAATAAAAAAATGGAAACCAAAACAAAAAAAAAACTCTCTGCTCGGCAAGTGCGAGGCGAGACAGAAGATGAAGGTCGAGCCGAGGAGAAAGGAGAAGTTTGAGTCTGCCTTCGCTCGTCGTCGGCACCGAAGAAGAAGTTCGCTCGTCGTAGCCAACAACCTCTACTTCCGTTCTCTGCCCAGCCGTCCTCTGCTTCCGACGTCGCCCATCTTCGTTGCCGCCGATTTACCATGGGAACGGACATGCTGCGAGGGTTGAGGTTGGTGGCGGCTGCCGGAGAGAAGAATCCACAGCGACAGCGGCGGGGTTGAGGTTGGCGGTGTCTGGGCAGGGTAACGGATTGTTTGATTAGGGTTTTGGTTAGAGATTGGGGTTAGAGGGTAAGATTGTCAATTTGATGCATTTTAGGGCGACGAATAACAATTCAGTTTGGTCATCTTTACTTTATCTACAACCACTTCTTACATGTGATCGATTTAATGAAGGAAAAAAAAACACTTTTGTTCTTTACATTTAATATAGTTTAGTTATTGTTCACATTGTATTTGTAGTTCATTGTATTTGTTAAATATAGACCTATATTGATTCATGTTTTCGTTCAAACTTTCACATCAATGTTGTCGCCACCCTTCTAGCTTTTCATTCTAACTTTTCTATAGGAGGTTAGTGTTTACTTTACATCTTGCAATTACAAGTTACGAAATGATCTTTTCAAATATAAAGTTAATCACGAACAATCTTCGAAATATGTTGATTGACAAATTTGTGAATAATTATTAAGTTGTGTATATAAAAGAGTTTGATTTGTAGTTGTTATAAACGCGCTGCTACGGATCGGGAAATCGCAAGAATCGACAAAGCAAGAATACAAAAGCGAGAATCGAAAACACGACACACGATTTACGTGGTTCACTAACACGATGTGTGTTAGCTACGTCCACGGGCGAGAGAGAGCCAATTTCACTATATCAAGGAGATTACAGATTACAGAGGAGTATGAGAAGTATTTATAGTACTTCTCCATGCGAGACCCCCGATTACCAGTCGTAGCGGCTGATAGTCCGATTCAAGTCACATCAACAGTAGTACAAACTAAGAATGTAATTAGCAAACCTTTTAGAACATGAAAAGTCATGGAAACTATGAATTTTATCAATAGAATATTTATGTTTATTATATTTTTACTAATTAATTTGTATTTTAACTATTTATCAACTTATTTCTACAATCGACTTCGACTGCACTGCGCTTTTATTTGTGCTCTTTTAACTTTGCTTGCCCAGCATACCGGTTCTGTTCTCTGAATTTCTGCCTCTCCTAATGACTGTTAGAATTTGCTGCGGCAGATACTATGGAAGCAAGACTCTTCCCGGAGGACCTGATAGGCGAAATTTTGCTGAGGCTCCCCATCTTCTCCCTCGTGCGTTTCCGGTGCGTCTGCAAATCATGGTACTCTCTCCTCTCTGACCCCAAATTCCTTTACAAAACCCTATTATTCGTCGACAACGACCACCGCCGCGACGACACTAAAATTCTTGTCAAGCTCAAGCTTAAGCCTGCGGACCCATTCCTTTACTGTTCCCTCTCATATGATTCTCTCCAAGTTGAAATCCCCTATCGAGATTTTCCGGTAGACCTGGGTATTAGCCGGCTCTGCTGGAGCAGACGATCATACTCACGCTTTGTTTAACCCTGTCACCTCCGAGATCAAAGTGTTGCCCCCTCCCCTTCATATACCGTCGTCTGAGTATGGAATGATCTGGACCACTACTGGGTTTGGGTTCGACCAGCAGGCCAATGATTACAAAGTCGTCAGGATTCGTCGTGTATACAGGCGCGCAGATAGTTGTTATCTCAATCTGATTCATGTGTGCAGCATGGGGGATGATTCATGGCGGGAACTCGATTATTCTGTTGGTATGCATGGTACTGCCGCCACATCCACATTTCAGACTACACGGTCTCGAGCTCCCACAGTATTGTCCTCGAGCAAGGTTGAGTGGGAGGAAGGGCAAGTGTTTTTGGGTAGGAATGAGTGCAGATTATGCTCAATGCCATAAAACCATCACAATCGTTTCGTTCGACATGAGCAGCGAAGTGTTTCAGGTGGGCAAAACCTTGCCAGATCCTTGCGGCAGTTGGTATAATGTCAATGGGTTCCACCCCTGTGTGTTCATGTTGAAGGACGAGACCGTTGCAATTTACCATTGTGTTGGTGCCTATGATGCAGAAACGAGGATGGATATATGGGTGCTGCAGCAGCAGTTTGGTACTGCGGGAGAGTGTTGGTACAAGCTGTATACTGATGGGGCCGAGAGGATTATCGAAAGATGGGAAAGTGATATGTGTCACTCGTGATGATCGCCTGCTTGTCTTGGATCCCACCACTGGGCAAACATATGCTCTACCGGTTGGAGGTTGCCACCACTTTTCAGAAGTTGCAAGCTATGTTCCATCGGTGCTACCGTTATCTCATTGGAAATAAAGCTGTGATGCTCTTTTCTTACGGCGTTTCCTTATAGCTCATGGAAACAGAACACCAGCTTAGTATATAAGCGGATGATGGCAGAAGTGGTAGTGAGATTTGAAGTATTGGTAAGATTGATATGTGGATTCTTACTGTTTATCGAGAGGAAAAAGGTACGTACCCAAGTTGGTGTAGGCACTATGTTCTCAATAAACATCTTGTGGCCGATGATGGGGACATTTTCGAGATGGTTAGTTTCAGTAAGTAGGTGCTATAAATAGCCTGTGTGGAACTTATATCGAACACACTTGAGTTCAAACATGCTAATTTCTGCTGAATGGCTTTCTCAACGCGCGTTTCATCATCAAAGATAACGATCAATTTTCGGGTTTGGTGAATTTCGTTACTTTGGTGTATAGTTCAGGCCATGATGTTATGGATCGAAAAGATTGGCCAGGATGTTTATTATGTGAAAAGTTAAGGTCATACAAATATATTAACCCTAAAAATATATAGAGCTCTCTGGACATGTCTACAAAGGGGTAGGATACTATGCCTACCCTTAAAGGGGTTGATTTTTTTACAAACCCTTATCAATTAGTAATTTTTTCATTAATCATTGACAAATATTAATGAAGGTAGACATAATAAATGTTCTGTTATTAAATACAAAGTAAACATTAAATACACCACATTAATTACTTGTTTTTTTTTAAATCTAAACATATACAAAATACAATTCTCTCTCATCTTTGATCTTTCTCACTCCTAGGGATGGCAATGGGTCGGGTCGGGGACGGATAGTGCATATCCGTTACCCTACCCAAAGTAGTTCTGATTTTACCCATACCCATACCCACATGTGAAACGGGTAGAAAATCAAAACCATGCCCATACATGTTCGGGTTTTGGGTATCCACGGTTATCCATGGATAGTAATTTCTCTTTATAACTCCAACCAATATGTTGAAATTCACAGGTATTCTCACATTACGTAAGAGGAAAAGTACGACAATAATTCACTAGAATGAAGAAAATTAATTAAAATAATACAATTTCATGAAAATATTATACTTATATGCTAAATATAAAATATGTTAGAGAAAAATAATGATTATTTCTAGACAAAATACATATGCATGGGTATAATCGGGCGAGTTCGGGTTGGATAGTGAGAAACCCATGCCCTCCCATTACCCGCAATATTCAGGTTCGGGTTTTACCCGTACCCACTAAATGTCTTTCGGGTTCGAGTTTTATCTTACCCGATTTGGCCGGATTCGGGCGAATATCCACGGTTACAAATATTTTTGCCATCCCTACTCACTCTTATCTCTGATTCTTCCTTTCCCAGCAGCCTCCGATCACCACACTTTGTCGGTAAAATCCCGCCTACAAACTCTCTCTGGTCACCTGCGAAAATATACCAATGCACTGATATGTTGTAATACTGTACTGGTATTTGTACCACTGCACTGATACTCAGATATGACATTAGTACCAGTGCACTGCTATCGCTACCAGTGCAGTGGTACAACGTATAAGTGCAGTGGTATTTTTTTTTTTTTTTTTTTTGCAGATGGTCGGAGGGAGTCTGCCGATGGCATTTTCACCGGAGACGTGTGGCGGTCGGAGGAAGCCTGGTGGTCGGTGACCGCTGAAAAAGGAAATATCATATATAGGGAGAGAGAATGTATTTAGTGTAGGTTTTAATTTGAAAAAAAAAAATAATTAATATGGTGCATTTAATTCCTAATGTGTATTTAATGTGTCTATTAAATTCTATAATTCTATTTAATACCCCAGAGGGGTGCCATTTTTCCAACCCTCAAGAGGGTTAGCATGCTAACCGACCCCGTCTATAAAGCTAGCTGGAGTAGTTGCAGAAACAAATATTCTACCCGCCAACTACCCAAGATAATGCAAGCCTCATATTTCAGTAGCTCTCATTAATAGGGCAGCCTAGAAACTTCCTAATGGCGGTGGAAGAGTCTTGGAACGATAGTATAAATAGCAGTGTTATTAAAGCTGAGCCGAGCGATGCACCAGAAAACCTCCTTTATGTAGGGGGCTTCCACGACTCCTTTATCCTTGATGCAAACCACCGAGAATGTTACCCCTTGCTTTGCCAGCGCCCCGTCATGACTTCACCTATTTTGGGTTCCTCACCAGCCTTTATACCGGATTCTGTGAGGAGCTTCAATGTGTTGACTTGGTGCTTGACCAATGCGAGTCCTCTAGCAAAATACTACTCCTGTTTTGGCAGACCACAAATTCTGTGCTTGGTCCACTCGTGCTTCCAAAACTGTTGGTCCTTGGTCGGGGTGGTCAGCACAGGCAATACGCCTTCAGATCCGGCTCCAAGTCAGCTTACCCATGATACATGAGTAAAATGTTATATAATATGAGTAAGATTCGGAATTATTATATAACATGAGTAAAATGTTATATAATATGAGTAAAATTCATGATTGTTATATTACATGAGCAAGACTCGAAATTATTATATAACATGAGAAAAATGTTATACAATATCAGTAAAACTCACAATTTGTTTTTGTGTAGCAGTGATAAAGACCAGTTTATCTTTGACTATATTTAACCCGAGTTTTAGAAGTGCTTTTATACTTCAATAGCCGAAGTCGGGTCAAACATTTCTTTAAGCTCGACTTTTGAAAAACTGAAAAGTGTTTTTAAGGGCTCCTCTCTCTTGGCACTCGATCTCTTCCTGTTTTTCCTGTGGGAGATCAATATTTTGAAATTTTTTCCACAAGGTCTGGGAAAGGGAGAGAGGTTGGAGTTTGAATGAGCTATCCAACACTCCTATGCTCTTGTTTATATAGAGCTACAAACAACTATACAGAACAACAGATCTCAAGGAAATAAGTTGAGTCACGTCTAATGAACTTTAGACTGTTTGTTGAGTTACAATTTACAAGTATTGCTCCTCAAAATTCTAACAGGCACACTAATAGATGGTAGAGATTCTCATGCTTTAATTTATACGGGAACATTCTTGGTAGCTACTCCTCAATGGAGGCGGACTTAGAAACAATGACAATATGTGGGCTCTAACTGTAATTATAATAAACCACATCTTGATTTGGACAACGGAAGTAAAATGCTATAAGCTGGTCTTCAAAATGTTATAAGCTGGTCTTCAAATGTATCCCTGACCTCTTTGAAATCATTGGTCTGCTATCAGTGCATGGTGAAGTAAATGTGATCCGTGTTTTTTTTCATGTTAAACGATTTAATTTTGAAATATCTAGAATACAATAAATGAGTGTTTAATTTCTTCTTCCTGATCCGTGTCGTGTCAGATGTTGGGTGTCCTCTTCTAATTGATTTCCGATTTCATTTTCCTTGAAATCGTATTTTGTGGTTCCATGCGTTATTCAAACTAATTACATAATAGATAACCTAAAGTCTTCATTTATGTAGTCAATTTTTTTGTTTGTTTTATAAATTTTAGAAAATTCCCCATCTATTATGATTCACTCACTCGTATTAATATACATGCATTGTGTCTCTTCTCAAGATAAACAAATATTGGTTAAATGTTGTGATTATGTTTTTTCCTGTTTATAAAACATTTTGTCATTCAAATTCTTCTTTTATGTAAATTTTCTTTTTAACCACAAACAACTTAATTGACTGTATATTAACTAGATAGGTCATGATTTGCAATCCACAAGTGATAATTCTCATAGTCATTAAAAAAATGCAATGTACAATTATGGATGAAAGGTTTTATAATTTTAAAATCGAAAATTAATTATGATGTCATCTTAATTTCTTTAAAATTTAGCATTTCAAATAATTTTTAAAAATTCAAATTAATGTTGTGATTACTATATATTTAAATATGAAATTTCGACAAACGAATCGATAACTAAAGTAGTGTACAACAATACCAGAAAAAAACAAATATTTAGACGATAACCCCACATAAACTAATTAAGGGCATTTATTTACCAGCGGTAAGTGAACAAAACCCTAACCTCCCAGGTAAACGAGAAGTAACCGATGCTAAAATTCCGATTAGCCCCGAACACCCCATCTTTCACCTTATACGGCACCGGAACCCTCTCCCGCCGGGAAGTCATCGGATTATTAAACTCCGCATAATCAAACTTGCCGTCATAATACACCAGCATCGTCGTCTCCCCACCACCTTGCACCCTCCGATTCGCCTTAATACACCACCAATTCTCCGCATCAAACTTCCCGTCCGCAGTCCACACCTGCACCGCCGGCGGGGGAGGAAACCCGCCGCAGTCCTCGTCAAGCAGCCAAAACGCATCGATCGCCTCCTCCTTTAACGACGGCACTCGACACGAAACGGGACTAGTCGGAACCACCGGCGGCGACAGTGTTACGAAAGTCGACCTCGCAACCTTCACCCTCCTCCGCCAGATCTTCGCCGGCGACTCGGACGTCGAGATCGTGTCGCGGTACCTGTACCTGAAATCGGAGCACCACTTGCGATACTTGTCCAGCTCTCTCTTTTCCGACTCCAGATCTGCGGTTGTGGATCTCAATCGCGTCTTCAGTTCCACCAACTTCTCTTCCTTCTCCTTCAGCTGCTTCCTGTAATCTACCACAGTGTCGCCGTTGCTGAAGCCGTGGCGGGTGTGCCATAGGTTGGTCAACGGCGGGGGCTTAAAGACGCCGTACTGGGACCAGTTGAAGGTGTCGTTCAATCTGAAGAACTGGACTCCGAACGATGGATTGATGAATTCGCGGCCGCCGGCGGAGACGTCTATGAAGTTGTTGCCGAGCGGGTTGACGTAGAGATGAAACAGGGAGAGGTCTTCCGCCAGATTCCTCAGGTTCCGACCTGTGATCAGCTCGTCGAAGATTTTCAGTGCGTCGTGTTGATCCTCCCGCTGGTGGTGGCTAGTGACCGCGACGGCTGCTAAGATCTTCCAGTCGGTGGCTTTGACTGCCGACGGTGGTGAATCTTTTGACGTCGTCAGCTCGTAGACGTCGATCGTGGTGGAGTCCGATGAACCTACAAAATGGGTAGAGGAATTGAGCTCGAAAGGCACCATGACCATCGGGTTTCTTTGGCTTAATTGTTTAATTCTGCCGTGTGTTTTATCGCTCTGGGTTTTATTAGGGTTTAAAATCTTCGTAAGAAATTATGCGACATGCAGGGGTCACCTACGTGACCGGCTTATAACGCGCGCGGATCTGATAACGTAAAGAAACGACCTTCTTCGTCTTTTTTAATCTTTGATGGAAAGACCTTCTTAATTCGTCTTAACCAGATTTGTACACGAAATTAGCAGGTAATTCTAGTGAAATGAGGAACGACAGTGACAGCTTGACGACAAATATGAGGAGTTGCGTTGGATATTTTCTTCTCCAAATGATCCATCGAGGCGCCAATGTCAACCATGCACAGCTAACTGTCAACGAGTAGGTAAACCCCGATTTTGTCACACACATACATACGCTACGAGAAAATCAAGCTTCAGCCCGACCCCTTTTCAAATTCTTGTTGCGGTGGGCTCAAATATTTTGGGTTTCTACGTTATTTAACAACTTAATTATAAAGGTCAAGAAAATTTTGAAAGCAACCAACGCAACAAGAAATTTAGGGGTGTTGCAATTCTAAGTTGTAGATCTATCCCTACCTATTCTTGGTGGGTATTGTCCGAAATATAGTAACGTGGGAATATGACGAATAAGTACTATTTTTGACAGTGCACCTTGCTATGTACTAAGTCTTTTTTTATTTTGATTTGCTTCAATATGTACTTGTATTTCTCCTCTTTTATTTTTATTTATAAAGGCGAGATTGATTAATTTTACTTATGACGTGCTAGTTAAAAGATTCAAATCCGAAAATTTTATATTGAATACCAATAGTATAACTGCACGAGTATCATACCCAACTTGATTCATGCTTAGTTCGAGACGGATATGAATATTGAAAAAGTAATGATATCTCATAGACACCAGTAAGGGATGCCCTAGGGTGTAAACACATTTTCTAGGGAACTTCAAGGTAAACTAGTATTGATATGGGTATGCGCAGAGAATTGTCTATTATAATTATTTTATAATTTATTTTGAAACAAAAATGTTCAACATCGTGACCTTAAATATCGATACTACCGTATTGTTAATTAATTGCTTTAGTTAGTAGATAAAAATTTTCACCAAATTATGGTTTAACACATCTCTGCTTTGCTGATGACCTGCTTGTATTCTTTAATGGATCAAATTATGGTTTCCAACGTTTGAATGAGATCCTAGCTCGGTTTAGGAAACTATCTGGATTACAAGTAAATCCCAGTAAATGTGAACTCTCCTTTGGGGGGTTGCCTGGTCCTGAACAGAAATTGAGGGCGGATAGGTATGGTTTTGCATTGGGGAAATTTCCTGTGAGGTATTTGGTGGTTCCTCTATCCCCAGCAAAGCTATCTGTTTCAGCATGTAAGTCATTAATCGATAAGATTGTTGCTCGAGTTAGTAGTTGGAAGTCTCGATTCCTCTCATATGCTGGTAGGGTGGAGCTTGTTAGTTCAGTACTGTATAGTTTGCATCAGTATTGGATGGCAGTCTTTCTCCTTCCAAAGGCATTGATAAGGGAAGTGGAGGGCATTTGTAGCAACTTCTTATGGGGTGTGGGTTAGAGTGGTAAAGATAGGGTGGAAGCATCTCACTTATCCTAAGAAGGAGGGGGGTCTGGGGTTGAGGGACTTAGCAACTTGGAATGTAGCTTGTGTTACTCGACATATCTGGCTCCTGTTATTGAAGCATGGTTCTTTATGGGTTGTGTGGATCAGTGTTTATAAGCTAAAAGGCCGGGACTTATGGCTTTATGAGGGTGGTTCTGGTTCATGGAATTGGAAAAGAATTCTGAAAATGAGGCACAAGATATATGCATATTTTCATCAGCAAGGGCAAGATATCTACTGGGATCAAGAAAAAATGGAGACTTTCTCAATAAGGAGGGTCTAGGAAACTTTGAGACCAAAGAAGCAGCAAGTAGTATGGTTTAAACTGTTCTGGTAGGGTAGTTCCATCCCTCGTAACAGATTCATTACTTGGTTAATTCTGAACAGAGTGGTTACAACAAAAGGGAAGATGGTGAAATGGGATTTAAAGCTAATCAGGGCTGTGTGTTCTGCAACTGTCAGTTGGAAACTTCAGATCACTTGTTTGTCGAATGTGTGATGTATAGGAAACTGATCTGCATGCTATTTGGCAGGAGTTCAGGGGTTTCCTCTTCTCTAGACAATGAGCTAGTTTGGTTACAGCAGGGTTTTGGGTCTAAAACGGTAAAGTCCCAAGTTTGAAGAGCTATGTGGCAAAGTTTGGTTAGTGTGGTGTGGCGAGAAAGGTGCAGCAGGGTGCATTCAGGTCAATGTCGGGACAGTGACGTGTTGTGCAAGGTTATACGAGAGGAAGTGATAAGGCTTTTTGGTAGGCAAGTATATGATTCCTTTGTATAGCATAGTATATAGGTGAATGTCTATGGGTTTTTATTTCCTAACTAGCAAGGATGTTGCTAGTGCCACTTTTGATGAAATGAAAGATACCCGATTCATAAAAAAAAATTCATCAATTAACTAGTTCAGTGTGCATGTTTTATAGACAAAGACTTGAGTCAAAATTATGAAATTATATTTTAAAAAGTTGTTGTATTTTCAGGTTATTTGTGAACTCTCAAATAGTTTACTGACAAAATATAAAATTTATATTCTAGTCTTGATCGACGTAATATACACCGTTGTGACGACCACTCTGGATGGTCGCTTGATCTTAATGTTAGATGTATAATGACGAACACAATAATCTAACAATTAACCTGTTTTTGTGGCACAAGTGTGACACATATCACGAGCATAAATTTACCGTGACTGAAATTATTCACAACCCATTTCTTACTTTTGGTGACCATAATAAACAGCAATGCCTTCAGGGGTAACTATCATATATGGTCACAAAACTATTCACTTTGTACAAAACGTGACAAACCTTTAATTTTGCACGTTTCAGTAACATATGTTTGGACTAATAACAAAAAAGTAAATCAGTCCATTTCCATCCAAAAGTCCGTTAGTTTATTCCAATCAGCACGCCATATCATCAGTAAATAATATTAAGAAATCAATAAACCAAACCAATTACACTTACCCAAACCAAACTCAACCCCACCTGGAACTTCCTTTTCCTCCGTTCTTGCCTTCCCCCCGCCCCGCCGCCACCTCTAGGCAAAACATGTAAAGAGAACAAAAGGATGGCTAAAAGAGATAATGTTGTGGCGAGTTATGAGGAGGTCCGCTTAGATGGAGGTTTTATTTATTCAACCTTTCTTAGCATTGGGCCTTGCTGTTTTTCTTCTTTATGCTCGGGCCTGGATGCATTCAGCAGTCAGCACCATCGGATAGGGCGCTATTAGTTTATTCCTGTTTGAATCTTAAGTCAATATTCTCTTATTTCAAATCATTATCGTTTTTGCTTAATTGACTGTATGTCTGTATGCTCTGTCCAATATAAACCCGACCTTTTTTTTTCTCTCAAATCAATTTCAATGTCTTCTCTTTCAGCTAACCTAGACTAAGTTGTTAATTGGGTTCCCACTTCCCACCCGATACAAAGAAAATCGGTTCACTAATTGGGTTTATATCAATAAGTAGACTTTTTTCAACAACTCAAAATTTTGGGACAAATTGGTTATAACATGGTATCAGAGATTGTTTGTCCTTATAATTATATGTCAAGTGCTCTCGACTTCCAATATTAATCATTATTTTAATTACTCAATTAGTCGTTTGAAAACCCTCATTTTTTTTGCAATTGTAAGTAGGGCTGTCAATTTGGTTTGGTTTGGTTAACCAAACCATTAAGTATGAAAAACCAAAAACTAAAAACCAAAACCATTAAGGCCCTTATTGGTTTTTTCGGTTGCCAAAAACCAATAAGGACTTTAATGGTCTTGGTTTGGACAACAAAAAAATCAACATGTACTCATACACTCATATTTATTCCCATTTCCCTCCTTTTTATTGAATAAACGTCATAATAATGGTAAATGGTCATTACAAATTATTGATTGGCATGCGTGTCAAAAGAAACAAAAAAAAAATATTTGTTAATAAATAATTTTATTCTTATTGGTTTCTTATTGGTTTCTATTGGTTTTCCTATTGTTGATAAATACACCACTCACAATCGCAACTTCCAAACGACCCGTAAATGTAAGAAACTGTTGCGGAGACAGGATTTGAAGCACATGGTATAAAGCTAGGTATGTGTAAACTTCAAACCATGAGTTGACATTGGTTTGAGGGGCGTTTAAGCAGGTGATTAAGTATCATAAGTGGACCTCCCCCGACAACTCGAGTTATTGAGATTAGTTGGTTTATGACACACTTCAACCTCCAAGTTGCTATGTTTTAAGATTAGATTATCACTATCTATCGTCGATTCGAAGTCAAATTACCATTATAAGACATTTGTTTTACTTTTACCGGTTTGGGACTCGTCTGTAATCTTTTTTTTCTTTTTCAGGTTGGAATAGAGTTAGACATTCTGAAGAATGTGTGATATATATCTTCTCGTGTTCGTGGATTAACTAATACACATTGTATTAATGAATCATATGAATCTGCGTGTTCTTTATTTTCTTCTATTATCGATTTTCGTATGGTTGTTACAACATTTGGTATATAAAGTGGGATTTCTTCTTATATTTTCTCAGATTCCCACATGCTTGAAACAGAGACATGGTTGAAAAAACTTCACCACCTCTTCATATTACTGTTTCATGGTAAACAACAAACAAGGTTAAACAGTTCTTCCCAAAGAAAGTTAAAACAGGGGAGCAAATAGTTGGCAGTTTGGTGAAACAGCACTAATATGTTAATTCAACACACCGTGCAAAGTAAAAAACAAACAAAATTAGACCCTCAATTACAGCAGAGGATTGTGGAGGGATTAGCGTTAGCAAGTCAAACTTGATCAACTAAGTTAAGTACGTACACACATCAACTGGACTATATAATACATCCTCACACAGCACAAACGTGACACGAAACAAGCACCAACATTAAGCAGCAAATTTAACAGCAATGGCTTCCATGGGAGCTGCAATGATGCTCTTCTTCTTCTTGCTGGCTTGCTTCCTATCTGCCACTTCCACCCAGGTATATATAGCTACTGGTACTAGCTAGCCAGCTGCTAGGCTCTTCTTCATTAGAACAATATAGATGCATTATCTTAACAAGGTAAAAGCTAACTTAGTTTTGAGTTGTGAACTTGTGATGTAATGTAGGCTGCAGAAAGTGTTCATCACAAGTCCAAGACTCACGCTCCATCCAAGGTCCTTCCAGCTCCTGCTCACGCTCCAATGGCGATGGCTCCTTCGTCTCATGAACACCATCACCATGTCCTTCCTCCACGCAAGTCTGTAGAACACCACCACCATCGCCATCATCACCATGCGCCAGAGGAGGCACCTGTTCATCACCACTCTCATTCGGAGAAGGCTGAGCACCACAACCACAACCACCGTCATCACCATAACTACGCTCCAGAGATGGCACCAGCTCCACAGGAGTCTAAGCACCATCATCACCACGGCCTTTCTCCGGCTCCGGCTCCTAGGAAGTTCCTTTCCTTTTTTTGGTAGAACGAGGCTTTTAAGTACTGTTGCGACATGATCAATGATATGATCCGGTGGAGGACTTTGTTGTTGTGGTTTTAGGGAAACAATAAATTAAGTACTTAGAAGTACTGATGCCTTTGTGTCAGTTGGTCGCATACTGTCCTGTTTATTCAGGATTATAGGTATGTTTGGTCGTTTTTTTCCTTATGTTAGAGAGTCTGTGACTGTGATCAAGTAGTGATCATGGCTCGTGTCTTAGTAAGGAACACTACTACTTATCAGGGTGCTTATCAAAGTGATCACATGACCAGTTTCAGTAATAATCAAGACCTCTATCATGGTCAATCATCTTTGTCAGATATATATTCGTTGTTCTTTCTAAGGTTGTAAAACCGTATCAGAGATTGTATCGAAATAGTTAGCGGTAGGCAATTTAATGTTGAAATCGTGGTTTAACCATTTCATATCGCTAAAAATCGTCTATCGATTTAACCTTCAATAAAAAAATATCGATCGGACAATCAATACGATTTTCAAAAACGATTGTTTATTCAAAATTTCTAAAAAAAGAAACGAAGTAATCGAATAGAAATTATTTAATCCTCTTAAATAAATGAAAAGAAAAGAGGAATACATGCACACTAATCTTTTTACCAGCGGTAAGTAAACACAACCCTGACCTCCCAGGTAAAAGGAAAATACCCGAGGCTGAAATTCCGATCCGCCGCAAACTCCCCGTTCTTCACCTTATACGGCACCGAAACCCGCTCCTTTTTCGACGTCATCGGATTATCGATCACCGCATAATCGAAATCGCCGTCGTAATACACCAGCATCGTCGTCTCTCCACCACCTTGCACCCTCCGATTCGCCTTGATACACCACCAATTCTCCGCATCAAACTTCCCGTCGGCACTCCACACCTGGACCGCCGGCGGCGGAGGCAACCCACCGCAATCCTCATCCAACAGCCAGAACGCATCGATCGCATCCTCCTTAAACGACGGCACCCGACACCGCACGGGACTGATCGGCACCGCCGGCGGCGACAGGGCCACGAACGTCGACCTCGCAACCTTCACCCTCCGCCGCCGGATCTTTGCCGCCGCCTCGGATGCCGAGATCGTGTCGCGGTACCTGTACCTGAAATCGTAGCACCACTTGCGGTACTTCTCCAGATCCCTCTTCGCCGATTCCAGATCTAGGGTATTCGATTTCAATTGAGTCTTCAATTCCCCCAATTTCTCGTCCTTCTCCTTCAATTGCTTTTTGTAATCGACGATCGCCTCGCTCTTCTCGCCGCTGCGGCAGGGGAATCCGTGGCGGGTGTCCCACAGATTGGCCACTGTAGTTGGCGGAGGGGTGTTAACGGCGCCGTATTGGGACCAGTTGAAGGTGTCGTTTAATCTGAAGAACTGTACCCCAAACGCCGGGTCGACGAATCCTCCGCCGCCGCCGGATACGTCTATGAAGGTGTTGCCAAGTGGGTTGACGTAGAAATGCGACTGGGAGAGGTCTTCCGCCAGATTCCTCAGGTCCCGTCCCGCGATCTCCTCGTCGAACAGCTTCAGGGCGTCGTATTGATTCTCCTCCAGCTGGTCGCGGCTGCAGGTCGCGATAATTGTGACGAGCTTGCAGTCGGTGGCTCTGACCGCTGACGGCGGTGAGCTTGTTGACGAAATCATCAGCTCGTAGACGTCGATCGTGGTGGAGTCGTATGAAGCGAGGAAATGGGCAGTGGAATTGAACTGGAAAGGCGCCATGATCACAATCCGATTTTGAGTTTCTTTCTGCCGTGAATCTTATATCTCTGGGTTTTATTAGGGGATTTGGATTGAAATAATCTTTGTCAGAATCTTTTGGAAAGGACGTATCGGATCGACGACTTTAGACCTCCGGGGAAAAGGTCAACATACACACGGATCAGCTAAGTGATGGTGAGTCTTGACCGCATTATATCAATTTGTCAACTGACGCGGAGGTGATGTAATGGTAATAAACTAATAATGCATGATTAAATCTTATAATTAATACGAAATTAGTGGGTAATTGTGATGAAATGACGAATGAAGAAATGAGCAATTACTGATTGGTGGGCTGATATATGATTTCCGTACACGTACACCAATTGGAGAATTGTCAGAGGTTGACCAATAAAATACGGACTTCTCTTCTCTTCTATTCTTCTCCGTGTGATCGATCGAAGGCGCCATTGTCAAGGGTACGTACATTTGCTTAATTGCTAGGCCGGCGAGAAAGTGTAGTAATAAAACGCTTTAAACTTTAGGGATTAAATCGCCATCAAATATGTTTAGGTTGTTAGGATTTTCGCTTACTTACTTTAGTCGAATCGAGCTGAGTTTTGATATAATTTGGAGTTAGTTCGTTAATAAACAAGTTGACCTTTTAACTCTTTGCTCATGTTTGACTTGAACAAGGTTCATTAATGAGCCTACGAGTCACGAAATAGGCTCGAGCTCAGACGCCATATTATCTAGCCCATAAATTTTTATTGTTCAGATCATGTTATTTACTGGTAACTAGTATATAAATAATCTATGATACATAATTTCTCTTTTATATTATACATGAGGTATATATGTTAATGTACTCAAAGTTTTAAACATCAAATGTGATGAGATATATAATTTAACAAACTAACTAATTATCAACAAGAGAACTCATAAGCTATTAATCGATTGACTCATATGTCGTTGTAGAGGTGGCTCGATGCTACACTGTTGAGCCAGCTCATAGTTCAAAACGAGCTAGCTCATGAGTTGGGCTTGACAAGTCATTGAATCGAGCTACCTCGTGAATTGTACAAGGTTTAACTCAAACTCGACTCTTTATTAAACAAATCGAGTACAAACGAGTTTTTTTTTTCGTGAGCACATTGGCTCATTTTGCAGGTATGTGTCATTAGGGCTAGCTAACGAACACATTCAGATTCGATTTGCTAGCTATTGACTGTCATTTGTTCGTGGACGAAGTATCTATGATTCATATATATGTTCGGATTGATCGAGTTTTTCTTGTTTTGTCTTTTTCGTGTGCAATGTATTTTGGTTAGCTTTGTGTCACGCCAATTGCTACTCAGGATGCCTTGTGATCACTTGGTAGAATATAGCATATGGTCTTGTTTTCTAGCAATGAAATGATGCTAACTATTGTTAGTAAGTCTGGTTCCATGCTTTGTGATTGTACGTCTTCCGTCGATTTTTTTCCCCCTTGGCGGGAGTGTGGAAGCCGGTTGTAGTTTCTAAGGTTGCAAATTGAAAAACATATGAATTGATACGAAAAAATCCTAAAACTAAAAAAAAAAAACTAATTGCGTTTTGTTTTGCTAATTGAAGGATGCCAAAATGTAACTCTTGTGTATTATTAAGTTGATTGCAGTTTATAGCATAGTTAGTAAATAGTCCGTTTTGTTACACGTATATGTACCTGTACGTATTTTATCCATTTAAAACTTTCGTATCCGTGTTATATTGTCAAGCCGTTCCATTTGTTTATTTTCATTTAATGGCTCCCGTACTAAACACGTATAAAACTCGTATAACACGTTTAATATCCGTATTTAATGAATTAAATTATTAACTTTACTATGTTTAATATATTTATTTATTATTAAAAACTAATTTTATATATTTATGACTATTAAAGTACTATTAAAGGTAACACTAGTTTAGAGATGAATTAAAATACTCGTACATATTTTATACATAACTTTTTCATACCGTATTTTACTAACTATGGTTTATAGGATCACGAATTCAAAAATCCATAAACTGACAAGATAAGTCTTCAAACTTAACGATTATGTTGATTTAGCTGGTTGGGTGAATGCTAAATGTTCTTTGTATTCCTCTTTGCTTATTGTTATGGATAAGCAAAATTTCAACACGATAATAAAAAAATTCTGTCCTTGTTTGTTTCTCTGTCTTCCCTAGGAATTTCTTCTATTCTCAATGGGTAATCACAGTCAGTAATCCAAATAATTAAAGACTATGTACATCATCAATTGTCTTCTAGAACATCAAGAATATTGCTGTAGAAGTTTAAAAGTTTGACCACATATACAGTCAAGGACAGTTTGAACAAGCAGAAATTTTTTCCATTTGCAGTTTGGTTAGTCCTTATACTTTCTATCTCACCCATTTAAGTCCCCACTATCTTTATATTCCCCCACCCAAAAAAGCATCCGCGTAATTCTGAAATGTATATAAGCATTGAAATGAAACCACAATCCTAACTAATATCTCATCAATTTTTCTTCAGAATCAAACCAGCGAAATGAGGATGGCTCCCTTCGAATTGAAGTCCCGAAACCTCTTCATCTCCTCGTCCGACAACGCCACCATCGACATCTACTCCCTAACCACCGCCGACGACGAAAACGCCGCCATTAGTACCGACACATCCACCGTCACATCCGACGACTGGAACCTCGTGGCCTCGGCGGGACCCCTGGCCAGAACCTACGATTCCCTCAAGGTGTTCGACAAAATGATCAAAGGCCGGCCGCTCAGAAACCTCGCCGAGGATCTCACGCAGTCCCACCTCTTGGTCAACATCGAAGGCCTCTGCTTCCTCGACGTCACCACCTACATCAACCCAATCCTCGGCTTCCACTACTTCCGCCTCCAGGATCTATTCCTCTGGTCCCGCCACGTGGGAGGGGAAAACGTTACAACAACCACCGTGTGGAACCCACGCGACACCGTCTATGGCAACGTGGCGGTCGACTACGCCGGTCGGATCGCTGACAAGGATGCCGAGCTGGAAAGTTTAACCCGCCACGTGGACGATGCGGAGGTCCAGCTCGTGGTCACGAGGGGCGAGCTCGATTACTACCGGAAGCACTACTGGGGAGCGGCTCAGCCGTCCCAGCTCGCCGTCGCCGACGTCGGAGCCATTGAGAGGAGGCGCCGGACGCTGCCGCCGGCGACTTTTGCCCGGGGCGGGGATAGCGGGAAGCTGCGGGTTCCGTCGTTGGACGGGAAGGCGGTGGATGATTTTGTGGTGATTGACGACGGCGGCGACGATGTGGGGCCGGCGCCGGAGTTTAAGGTGGGATGGGAGGCGGCGAAGGGAGGGAAGTTCGACACGTGCGACTGGTGGTACGTGCGGACGAGCGATCCGGACGGTGGGTCAACGATGGTGGCGTACTACGACGGCGGGTTTGACCACGTGGAGTTTTATAATGGGAAGACGGGGAGGAAAGAGCGGGTTCCGGTGCCTTGTGCGGTGGACGGCAGCTTTAGAGCCACCAGGCATCTCAGGCTGGCTACGTTGTCGTCGTTGCAGTTGAGGGTTGTGTTCACTTACATCCCCCCTATCCCAGTATTTGAGAAATAAATATTAGTCCGTTGTATTTGTATGACCATATTAGTCCGTTGTATCAATTAGATTGTAGACTAGATAGTAACAAAAAGTCAAAAACGTTACAACTTCTATTGATTTTTTCTATTGATTTTTTACTTTGATATTCATATTAGGACTGCAATCGAGCAAAATCGATTCGATTTTTTACTTGATTTGAACTCAATACGTTTATTAATTGTCAACAATAATGTCGAATCAAGTTATGACAGGTTGGATTGGGTCGGATGAACATAATGAAAATGGTTCAACTCGACTTTCATTCTGCTAGACACAATAAATAATACTTACAGAGAGAGCTTATCAAGTCGAGCACAAGCTTGCATTTAATTTGGTGAGCTCGGCTTGAAATATTTTATTCGTGGAAGAAAATAATAATATCATAATCTTAGGACAATTTCAACCATATGCATATTTTATTAAATGAATTCGAGATTTGAGCTCTCCGAGTCAAACCATTCAAAAATTACGACTAGTTGAGAATGACAAAGCTGAAACTTGATTTTTTTTACAAACAAACTAGTTAAAGAATCGTCTCATTTGGAAACGAGCCGAATGTAGAGGGAGGTATTTTCTATTTGAACTCCAAATCACGACCTTAGAGTTAGAAGTTGGAAGCAAGTATGACTACGAGTTTGGGATTGGGCCGTAAGCACGATGTCGGGTATGGGCCTTTGGGGCATTTACATGGTTCCCCCATGGCTTTGAATATTGGATCCTTCCATGGGCTCTTCGTTAAACATCCAAGAGCTCGATCATCAAATGGCTTTGATTAGCCATTTTTGAGATGTGTGTCACCAACTTTGATGAGAGGCATTGGGAGAAGCGGCCAGCTGGTTACTACTTAATTAGATGTTCACGCACCCTCTCAACACAGCATCAACATGTACAGCTGAGATCACATTATAGTATTTACTTTAATTAGATGGCCCGCAGTCAACAAAAGGAAGGAATCTAGCAAGTTGACCGCCAAGACTAGACTGGTGGTGCTCCAAGATTTTCATGTGCGATATATTAATTGGACGAAGCAGTGGGCGGCGTTGACATGGTGTGAACTTCTGAGAAGTCAAACCACCGCGGCTGCCTATCCATCCTATTCCTATTCCTAGCATATGAACACCCCACAAACAAAGCAGCCAAAAGTGGCGGATTGACTGCCCTGCCACGCACGCTATAGCCTCCTCGTTCCCGTAGCTAAGAATATAGTAATTGGCTTGGCTGTACCTTCCCCAGATGATCATGAGTTGATAAGTTGATTGCTTATTAGGGTTTTGCAGGTTAGCTTCCTGGAAGCTCTCATCATCACTTCACTACAATAAACAGACGTTGCAGGGGTCTTTTCACTTGTGATTGTCAGGTTTATACATGTTAGCTACTTGTAAGCAAGTAAGTTGCAGCCGCAGGTTTATGAAATTAATGAAAAGAGAAGACATACATGAATTATGTGACTCGATTACTGATGAATATTACATTTTGAGGACTCACTCAAACAAAATTCAGCTCACACAATATATCATTAACTAAAAATCAACACTTATAATATTGGAGGCTCTTAGAACATGCATGAGGCCGGTCTAGTATTTCTTTGTGAAGAACCAATTAGTTTTTAATAATAACTAGAGTTGTTGGGGAAGATAAAAAAAAATGGCCTCTATGCCAATCTATTACAATTATTTCATAGTTTTCTTTGAGACAGTTATAAACACTTACCGGGTCAAGCAAAATTGTTATATGTGGTTCCAAAATATTTGTTTTGTGTACCCATATTATTAAGATTAAATTGGTAGTATTGACTTTCTTTGTCTGCTTTTTAATGTATTTGGTTATGTTACTCTAAACTTCGAAGTTCAATGTTCTTTGCCAAACTAAGTGTCAACACATTCAAATACTATTCGAAGAATTTGATGACGCGGAATTGAAATAGAACACGAGATCGACAACGATTTTAATGGTATCCTCGATCGATTGATTGATCAAGACTAATCCATGGTGAGCTCATAAGAGCTCACGACTGATCTCTTATTAGGATTACATCTTGACGGCTTGCTGTCACACAAGTCGATAGCTAATCTTATATAGATAAACTTAGGGTTATAACCTTAATCCAACAAATCAGACGAGGCTCAATAATGCTCAATACTAACACGGTTTAAGTAACCACGACACTTTTCTTTGGAATGCAAATTGCAAATGTAAAAGCAGATTACTCTTAAGGAAAATCATTATAGTATATATATACAAGGGCCTCTCTCCCCTAGCTAGGCAGAAGAGCAAGTAGCTTGACAGAAGGTTACGTAAAAAATTGAGCATCGAGCAGAGCAAGGCAGATTAATTAAGATAGCCACAATTAAGACTAGACCTCGGATCACCAATTCCGGCCACGAAGCTGCAACCCTCACGGTTCTCTAAGTATTTAAAATAATCAGCAACTTGCAATCTTGCTGCAATTTAGGGTTTCTTTTGCTTGAGAATCCGCGCCGCGCCTAGACTATTCTCTCTGGATCAATCTCCCACAAGGCCACAACGTACGCCTATAAATACCTTCCTCCCTTGGCCATCATTCATCACTCACTCAACAAAGTAAAGACAGCAGTAGCAGCTAGTGAAGCAGATATAATTAGTAGATCGATATGGCTCTCATCAAGGCTGCCTGCTTCCTCTTCTTCTTTGCTCTCCTCGATTCCTATGTACGAAGACCAGTTCTCCCATTTCTACTCATTATTGGGCTCTCTTCTAGTCTTCTTGTTGCATGCAGCTTCTTCGTGTGCTTGCATGCATGATATACTCACTATGATCGCATCTTGAGCGCCATTAATGTTTTCCATATACATGCATGTCTTCCTTTCTTCTCAACCACATCCACTCCTTTTTTTTTAATGTTTGCAGGTTTCAGCTGTTGCTCCCACAACAGCTCCGGCGACTGTCGCTCCGACCCATGCTCCGGTCACCCCGACTCCGGTAGCGCATGCCCCACTGGCACCCGTATCTGGAAACTGTACGTCGTCTTACAGCTCTTACTACCAATGCCCCTAGCTAATTTGGTCGTAAAAAAGACTATTGTGTGGGTTGTCTAAATATTTACAAATGGTGTGGTGCAGATTGTGTGGCCAAGTGCCAGGACAGGTGCAAGACCCACCCGTCTGCCAAGAGGTTCTGCCAGAAGATCTGCACCAGGTGCTGCATGAGCTGCAAGTGTGTCCCAACCGGTCCAATCGGCTCCAACGCTGAGCAGTGCAAGAACTGGACCGCTACTCTCTACCATGGCGTCCCTTACAAGTGCCCTTAATTCAACTACTACTAATATTTCACATATCATCACAACTTATACTTCCATATATGTGCCCCCTTAATATTATTACCATGAAAACCTACCTTATTTCCCACACAGCCTTTAGTTTTCCATTTCATGTCTTGAAAGTTATAGCTAAGTAGTTCGTTTTGAAGTCTCCATAGACTTTGATATTGGGATTCTAATAAAAGCAATATATATGCAGTAGTAGTCCACTGAATGTTATCTAGCATCAATTGTTAGGCCATGTCGTTTCATTTCATATTTTGATTTGTGTAATTTGTCTTTGTTGCAATGGGAATAAAGAATCTCATGTTAGGTTCCGGTTACAAGGTGAGATTCTCGCTCCCGGTGAGGCTTGTGAGTGAAGTCGGCCAATTTTAGCCTAATTCATTATTACTAGATAAATGGCCCGCGCTCCGCGGCGGGTAACTTCGTTTAGCACGTTGGTCCGATCGAGAAAGTGGGTTGAGTGTTAATGGTCCGACTTCTTTAATCCGATTTAACCTGGATATATGAAAAAATCATTATATTGTTCATACATTTATAAATGATATCAAATATCATCTAACACATAATTAATAACATATAACATTACACCAAAATAACATGTAGTATTTGGATCCAAAATATAATGAAAATTCACATCAAGGTTGTCCAACCGGTTTAAGTCATTGAGCCGGTCAAGCAAGGGGTTTGAGGTTTATTGGTCTGATTAGGGTCCGACCTGTTTAAACCGTTTTATACCTTTTTAAAATATATGTACAAATAAGGTAGTAATAAAAAAAATTAATGACTGAAATGAAATTTAATCTATTAAAAACTTATTTCCTACAAAATAAAACTTATCTAACCCACCCACCATCTCCCTTCTCTCTCTCTTCTTCTCCCTCTTTAGGGGGCAAACCGAGGTCTTTCTAGAGGCTATTTTGAAGCCCGATCTTGGTCCGACTGGGTCTAACCGAGGACCCATTAGAGATTTAACAACCTTGATTCACACACTTATGTAACATTAATGTTCAACTTAGCATTCCAAAAATTGTGTTATGAGAAAAGGAAAACCAGAAAATACTCGCATTTCGCAAACCAAATGAAAAAAATGTCGTAGTTTGACCTCAAAATTGGTACCTTGCAATGGTCGACCTGGCGGGAGTGTGCGGTCCGTTTTCTCCACCAGGTCACCAAGAAAATGGGTTTGATGGTGAACTTCTAAGTAAACAGTATTTGATTGATTTAGAATAAATTGATTGATTTTGCAATTTGATTTCGATGATCAAACTTATACTTGGAATTAGAAATTTTAATATTGGTGTTTTAGATTTTGATTTTATGGTGCAACTTGAAGTTGTACTTTTAACGTTATGGTACAACCACAGATTGATATAAACAAAAGTTGTACTTTTATGTTATGATACAACTTGAAGTTGTACTATAACATAAAAGTTCAAATTAGCTCATGCTCTAATTGTACTTTAAAGCCCCATTGCGTTGAAGCATAGTAGAAGTGCTCGTAGTAAATGTTTGAAATGAATTATATCTTAAACAATGTTGTAATTAAGCTCCTTAGTCTTTTAAGTTCTTAAGAATGGATTTCATAATTATTTAAAATTCCTAGTTAAACTTTTGATGGGTGTATTAAACATTGAATTTGTAAATGTCATTGTGAGTTGTGAGTGGTATGAGTCTATTTCTATGTACCATCAATATATACATCTGATTGATGCCGCATTTAAGTGATTGATAAACGGACAATCATAGGATAAGAGAGTTTTATATGGAGGCTCATTTGCATTGATCGACTAATATCAATTGGTAATAGCAAACACGTGTAATATTCATTCCATGCAACAAATTAAATGGTACCCATCCACGTGTAATAGACAATTGCTTGCTCTCATAATCCCAAAAATCCCACTGGCAGAAGAAGCTGACAAAGATGTTATAGCAAGATCAATTGCACTTTTCTTTGTGTTTGCATGTACGAAATCAAAGCATTTGGAGCTGGTTTGCGAAATTCAAGGACTTAGGCGGAGGTGAGTTTACAACGGACACCATCTTCTTTGCTCGCACACTCCCCGTTATCTGCGGCCGAGATTGGGAAGACCACCAAGGTCCTTTGCGGAGGAGAGCTGGAGGCCCAGTCGTTGAATTTGCTTGGCTAGCCGCCAGCCGATTTGTCGACGGGATGGGGAAAGTCGGGGATATGGTCGTAGACGCATAGATGCGGGGAGCAGGTCTATCCGCCACCAGATCGTCGTGCGGGATCGGAGGTGAGGGGAAGGTTAAGAGATGCGTGGAGGAAGGACTGGGACTTGAACCAACGGCGGAGATCAATACTTAGGATATATCGACGACAATCGCGTGGTGTGCGTGATACTTACGGTAGGCTTGCCCACTCCCCACTGGACCCCTTATACCATTAGGCGCTATTTATTTAATAATAATAATTTACATTGCCGGTGTATATATATGAACTGCAGAAACGAAGCAGCACCTAAAAGTCGGCCAATAACCTAACTAATTAAAAACATACACCTACTGAAAAGGGACGTGTCTCCAAAGTGTAGACCGTTTATTGAATTTTACATCTCTTTTGAAACGTGAAAATACACTAGGCCTGATTGATCTTTGGGTAATTTTTTACAAAACTAGCTTCTAAAGTTCTAATACAATTCGTTGGGAACTGGGAAGTGTTATTAAAAGTGTAATGAAGTGTTTCAACAAAAAAAATAAAAAAAAGATGTAATGAAGTGTTTGACTGATAAACTAGTGAAATTACTTTTTAACTTAGCAAGTAATATAAAATAATGAAAATATTTTAAATTTAAAAAAGAAATAAAAATTAAAGAGGGTTTTGATTGAAGTTATCTTATCTTAAATAATAATTATATAACTTTTATTTATCAAACATATCAATGAAAAGATTATATTTTGAAAAAAATTTATATCTTGAAAATGGTTTTAAAACGAATATAAAAATGGTAGATTATGGTTTTATGGTTCATAATGAATTAGAAATGTTTGCTCGACTTCAATTTTTTTTTTATACTAAAAACTACTTCAAAAAGTCGGTCCAAATATATGCTATGATTGTTTATATAAATAAAACTTTTATTATTAAGATATTTTTTTATTCATGGAAAATATTAGTGGGGATTGCATTTATATATTCTGTAGAATGGACCTGGTTATCTAGCTCCGTCTGAAATCTAGATTGCGCCATAAGCTATTTTAATCTCCCAGAGCGGCTATAAATAGGATCCTCCAATCCCTTCACTCACTGCAACAAAGTAAAAAGGGATAAGAAGTAGAGATATGGCTCTCGTCAAAGCAGCTGCATGCTTCCTATTCTGCTTGGTCATCCTCGATCCCTACGTACGTACGAGTCCGTTCCCATCGAAGCAATTAATTTCATAACTATATATATAGTTTGTATTGTATATTAATTCCTTTCTCTCAACTACGAACGTGCACTCCATTTTGGTTGTAGGTTTCAATAGTGGTTGCTCGTAAAAAATATCCGGCGACTAGCGCTCCAGCCCCTTCTCCAATAATCATCACACCAGAGTACGCCAGCCCTGCCTCGGAAGCAGAATTAGCACCCGAAGAATTCGTTACCATTGTACGAAACGAATCAGTTCTCTATCGTTTGTAGTCATTATTATAGTAGGGTTTTCACAAATTCATCTTGTTGTTCATGCATGCATGCTTCTTCATGGAGTGATCGATCGTCACTATGATAACATCTATCTATCGCAATATTGTTCTCAACTAGCTATACATGTACTGGATTGATTTTGGATGCAGACTTCTGCGGTTGCGCCTGCAACACCTCCGGCCACTTTTGCACCGGCTGAACCACCGATAATCATCGCAGCAGCAGAGGACGCCCCTGAAGCTCCGGTACCAGATGCCGCATTGCCACCCGCAATTAATTAATATCCCATTTCTACTTAATTACTGGGCGCTTGTGAGTGTGTGTTCAATAATACCATGCCTACTTCATGTGTACGTTCACTGTTAAGTACGTTGTAAGTCTCGATCGATCGGCTTCGATGGATCTTTGGTGTTCTAATAAAAAAAAGCTTATGTATGCTGCAGCCAGCTCCTGCTGATTGTATTAATTGATTGGTAGTCCGATCCATCATGTTTCACTTTGGTTTATGTAACGTGGCTGGCTGTATTGTCTACTTAGATAAAAGGTTGTTATAGTATGATCAGTATCGTCTGAATAAAAGGCTGCTTTAGTTTTGCAAACTCTGTCCTAATTCTCCCTCTTTCTCTCTTAATTGTAATTTCTATAAATCGAGTATCACGAAACCCCAATTGAAAATCGAATTTCAATTCCAACGGCTAATCCATCCATGAAGAAGATGACTGTTCCAACGCAGTTGTAGTCCTTAAAAATTTCTGCGAAATAATTAAAAAAAAATCACGACGTTCGGATTGTGAAGCACAAAGTTATGGCCTTTCAAAGTTTAGAAAAATAGAAAAAATGGTCGTTCGGGGTAGCAAACGACGTTTTTTCGGGACGAAAGCGGGACCAAGCTGCCTTTGAATGTTAACGAATTGCAAGATCTCGAAAATTTATGCGGAATCAAAAAAAATATCGTTACGATCGAATAACGGAGCGCAAAGTTACGTATGTTTGAAGTTTCAGCGCAGGTCAGGCCTTCACCGCAGCTGACAGCCGCGGTGATGCATTCACTGTTGTCCTCTCCCGCAGTGATGCATTCACTTCTGTCCTCTCCCACAGTGATGACTTTCACTACGTTTGTCAACTGCGGTGATGCCCAAACATGTGTATATTGGGAATTTTTCATAAAACGTGTGTATTTTGGGATTTTTTAAATAGAACGTGTGTATTCTGAGATTTTTTCCCAGGTTTGGGTGGGCGTGGTTCCTTACATACAATTTTGAACCATGGTTTTAAAATTATAATCTTCTTCCTAAAACAAAACTGTGTGGTGTTGTAATATGTGATATAAAAAATCCAAAACCAACCAGTATGTGGTTCGAAGAAAACCAGCCCACACCATTTTTTTTTTGTTGAATTCCACCGCAACATCTTCGAACAATTATGTATAAAATATGTAATCTAAAAAATTTATTCGAATGTCATTCTAAATTGAAGTTTCTTTGTCAGATTGTTTGTAAACGGGAAGAAAATGAACAAAATTTGAGATCTAAGAGATAATAATTCCAGAAACGAAGCATCACCTAAAAGTTGGTCGGTGACCTAACTAATTAAATACAAGTTGTCCTATCCTCGCCTGCCGAATGAGTTAAGTGCTTATGGCCAAACATATACCAACATTCCACCACCTAGGATGGCAACGGGTTTGGATGGGGCGACCGCGGTTTTAATATTATAATCATCTTCGTTAACAAAACTGTGTGGTGATGTAATATATTATATAAAAAATCCATAACCAATTATGTATAAATTTCACCAACAACCAGTATGTAGTTCACAGAAAACCCACCCGCATCATTTTTTTTCTGTTGAATTTCACCCTCACCATCCCTGAACAATTATGTATAACATTTGTGATATAATCTAAAAAAATTCTTCGAATGTCAATGTAAATTGAAGTTTTTTGTCACATTGTTTGTAATATTGAGAGAAAATTAACAAGATTTGAGGTATAAGAGATAATTATAATTTTCTAGAGATATAAATAAACGGAATGTTAAAGTTTAGAATACAGTTATAGCACATATTTGGATGGTTCGGTATAGATACTTAAAATATAAAAATCGTATCAAACCCATTACCCTATTTGTCGGGTTTGGAGAAATCCACAAAAAGATAATGTGAGTTGGATTTTTTCCAACAAAATCCAATTTCAATGAGGTTGAATACCCAATGATTTATTTTGCTATCCTATGATCCTATCCCAACCCAAGATGTATGCGCTTATATAGACATGCATATATATAATGTGATCTATTATGTATTAACATATGAGCACTGTCCTAAAAAAAACAACTGAAAATTCAGTAAACTAACTGCGCGCCATGGCTGATGCTTTCCTCATCAGTTCCCCGGTCAACAGAGACGACCAATTTTCCGGCCGATGGCTGATCACTTCAGCAACCATCGGAGTTATACTAGTCGGAATTTGGTACTTCGTATCGAGAATGGTCAAAGGATTGAAATCACGAGGAGGAGCAACAGCTGCTTCTTCTCTTCCTCCGGGGCCTCGCGGCTTGCCGATTGTTAGCTACATCCCATTTCTCATGTACAACGGGAAGAACATTCCACTTCACCGGAAATTCACCCACCTCGCGGCCCAATACGGGCCCATCTTCAAAATCCGGGTCGGCAGCCAGCTCCACGTCGTGGTCAGCTCGCCGGCCTTGGCGAAACAAGTCCTTCGGGACAACGAATCGGCCTTCTCGAGCCGCAACCTCCCGTTAGCCATTCGAGTTTGGACCTACGGTGGGCTGGACCTCTCTTGCCTGCCAATGAGCCAAGACTGGAGCTTTATGCGGAAAGTGGTGCTAAGGGACGTGCTCAGCAACCCTAGTTTGGACCGCTGCTACGAACTGAGACGAAGGGAGGTGGTGAAGGCGCTCAGGGAATTAGTTAGGAGCGGTTCACGCAAGCCGGTTGGCGTGTTGGAGTTGGCGAATAAGATGGTTGCGAATGCGACTATGGCGATGACGTGGGGAGGAAGGGATGATGATGGTGACGTGGATAACGAGGAGGCGCGACGATTGTGTGAAGAGGGGATGGCGCTGATGGAGAAGCCGAACGTCTCCGACGTGTTCCCACTTCTTGCGAGGTTTGATCTTCAAGGGATCGGGAGGAGAGCGGCCGAGGTGGCTGGACGGTTTGACCGGATCATTACCTCCATGATTCAGAAACGCTTCGATGGTAAAGGGTCGTTAATTATGGAGCGTAAAGAGGACGGCCGAGAGGTGAAGGATTTGTTGCAGGTTTTGCTGGAGAATAGGGAAAGGTCGTCTGGTGCGGGATCGCCGCTGGCGTCCATCACCCAATTCAAAGCCCTCCTTCTGGTATTGTTCATTTGCATGTGGATTGTAATATAACATGATAAGTCAAGTTATTGAAATATGTTTAATAATATATAGATCTTATACAATATGCTAATATCGTAATGTGTCTCTTCAAGTGAAAGTTATCATATGATTTTGAAGTTTGCAGAACCTTTAGATATCAAGTGTTTATCAATATTGAAATAAATGTCGTACCATCAAGGCTCTCAAAATAACTCAAGTTATTGATAACATTCTATCCATACATGTTTAATTGACAGAACATTACGCCGGGCGGGACGGGAATGGTAGCAACCGTAATCGAGTGGGCGATGACGGAGCTACTAAGGTGCGACAGGGCAATGACAAACGTGAAGCGGGAGCTAGACGACGTCGTAGGGTTGGAAAACCTAGTTGAAGACCACCACTTGAAGGAGCTGAAATACCTGGACGCCGTGGTGAAGGAGACGTTCCGGCTGCACCTGACTGTCATCCAACGAGAAGCGGTCCAGCCGTGTAGCATAGGCGGGTACGCTATCCCGAAGAAGGCGAAAGTGATGGTCAACGCTTGGGCCATCCACAGGGATCCACGGCTGTGGGAAGAGCCTACGGAGTTCCGGCCGGAGAGGTTTCTGGACAGCAACAGCGACTTCGTGTATATCCCGTTCGGGTCGGGTCGGAGGATGTGCGTCGGGGTTAATTTGGCTACGAGGCTGCTCAAGTACGTGCTGGCTTCGCTGCTGCATTCGTTCGACTGGAAGCTCCCGGCCGGCGAAGGAGGGTCGACGGTGGATGTTTCGGACGAGTTCACGTTGATCATCAAGAAGAAAAAGCCACTGACTATTGTGCCCACGCCTCGGCTCTCTTGTCCGGATCTGCATGCCTAATTCTTGTATCGCTAGCTACTAGACATGCACTGGATTTACGGTTGTACGGTTGTAACCCTATACCGCTGGTCAAACTACGTACTCTTTTGCTTGTCTCTTTTATGTCCTTTCAAGGACGTATGCTGTTCATCCTCATGTTGTATGTTGTCACTTCATCTATTAAACAGAATCTTGCCATCAGAGTAACCTTTACAGTTTACTGTACGTATTTACTAATTAAACGCTTCTCATCGTTTCTTATGCCAGCATATATACAAGACTTGGCATTAGGAGGGATTGAACTTAAGGTATGGTATGGTTAAGGTGAGATGTAACCCGGCTCTTGACATTTGATGTTTGGTTGTAAAATATGGATCACATGGTGATTAGACATTGAAAAGTGATAATATGGTAGCAGATATTATCAATCCTCCACCTGAATTGTGAGTTTAATTCTAGTAGGATATTATGATCCTCACCCTCAACTAAATAGTGGCTAAGGCTTCACTGCTCATCGATACTCTTAGACAAATAAGTTACATTACTGACAAGGTAATTAAAGTGGGTACAAACCCAATGGAAAGCCATACATATTACACAAAGGAAAGTCACTCATATAGGATTGAAGTTTGTACAATTCAAAAATGGGATCGTAGATCATTTGATCTAAAGACCTACTATATATGGTATCATATCAAGAATCAACTAGTCTTAATAATTCGACTTGTTAGAAGAGGTTTAATAATGAATTTTGTACCACCGACATTTTTAAAGGTGACTCCCATTTTGCTAAAGCATAAGTGGAAGAGTGCATTATATAAAACAAACAGGTGGAATGGCCATACATGAAGTAGTATGAAAGGAAAGAAGCAATGTTTGCTTAGCCTTATCATACCCGTCGGTCGGATCAGAAATACCGGATACCGGATCCAAAATAGAAATAAGTTTTAGTAATAGAAAAATGGCTGAAACACAATTAAATTACCATTGAATACACAATGTACTATTACTAATTATTTCAGTATAATTTTTGGTACGATTTTAAAGGCGTCTGTTATAACTCACATATACTATTCTCTATAGTTTGTCAATATCGAGGCATTCATCGTAAACAACGATAATTAAATTGTTACTCTCTATGAAAAACGTACGAAATAATAAATTGTTAGGCCGCAAAATCGACGATGATAATCTCTTGTCCAAAATAAAACAAAGAACAATGGCGTTAACATGAAACTTGTGCAGTCAAACCGTTGGGCTTGTACTTGTGGTGGGCTGAAGTCAGCCAGTAAGATAAATCATGGGATGGGATGGGATTAGGTGCTAACCCTTGTGATAACTAGTAAAAAACACTACGGATTATTATAAAATCAATATAATATCTAAGCTAAATCACTACTAATTCAAACTAGTAGTAGTTTTTCCCTTGGTTAGGACGGTGCTAACTATTATACAATTAGCACCGTAGCCGTTCCCTAAATCATGCCATGCATGCGGAGTTGGCCAATAACCTAACTAAATAAGTACGTGCTTAGCGCGTCTGATTATATCGCTTAATGAAGGTCATTAATTAATGGATGATAATCAATTCTTCGTAATGTTTTAAAATTCAAATAATGTTTTAACTTTTAAGAATGGATACTATAATTATATTTTCTGACAATTGCATTCCTCACTTTTCTAGAGTTTTGTTACCAGATCAAATGACGTGAGCTTCCATATATATATATACAGCATAATATAGACTATAGAGAAACCTTGACCTTAGATTCCATGAACCATTTCAAGATCAGGTATAATACACCATTATAAAAATAATAATAAAAAGATCAGGTATAATACACAATTGCATAACCAAAATTTATGCATTTGTACTCGCCCTAAATTCATAGGTGGCGGGAGGTCCATGTCCTTAATTTTTATGTTGTTTATCGTCCATTTCCATAAATTTGGCAAAAGAATATTTGACCCTTGGCAACGTACTAGACTTATTTTCCATACCAATAGTCAACTTTGTATAAAATTTGGATTAGCTTTGTACTAGAGGAGAAACTGTATTTATTTTACATTTCTTTTATAATATTAAAACACACTATATTTATTTTCATAGAAAGAAGGTATCGGTTCGTTACTTTTCAAGATTATTGTTTTGTTTTACAACCCTATAAATAGCATATCCTCCCTTTGCCATTATTCATCACTCACTCAAACAAATTAAAGTAAAGAGAGAAAGTAAGGTAGTTGGCAGTATAATATGGCTCTCATCGTCAAGGCTGCCTGCTGCTTCCTATTGTTCCTTGCCATCCTCCAATATTCCCATGTATATATGCATGATCAGTTCCAATAACTTAATTATTGGGCACTTCGATCCACTGTTCTTGTTGTTGTCCATGCTTCTTTACTTACTTGACTTAGCTTCCTTTCTTAATTAATTGTCTCACTTTTTTTGCTGATTTCAGGTCTCAGCCGTTGCTCCCGCCCATCCTCCCAAGATGGCGACCGCCCCTGCCCCAACGCCATCCAATATTCTTGAAATCTGTACGACCATTGAACACCGATCTCTCTCGGATTTTTGAGACCACCAAAAATGGTCGCCGAGAAGCAAACCAATTATGACTGCAAAAACATTAATCATGGCAACCATCAACTATATATTACTGATCTTTGGCGAACATTTTCTTTTCGTCACAAACACAATCTGTTATCGACGTTCATTTGTTTGTGGTGGTGGGTTGTTTATTACCTGTATGATGAATATATATGCAGATTGCAAGGCGAAGTGCAAAGAGAGGTGCAAGCTGGTCGGGCCTTTTGGGATCAAGTTGTGCGAGGAGGTGTGCACAAAGTGCTGCTTGAGGAGCAAGTGCGTTCCAACCGGTCCGGTAGGGATCAACTTTGGCAAGTGCAAGAACTGGACCTTTACTCTCTACCGTGGCATCCCTTACAAGTGCCCTTAAAACACACACACATTCCATATCACACAATATAATAATAATGCTAATTACTTATATATATGTATCCCTTATTATTATACGTACTATGATAGCCTGCCTGCCTCATACAAACTTCAGTTTACCCCTTCGTCTGCTCAATAAAAGCATATCTATATATGCAGTCCACTAAAGTATTCATGCACGCTAGGCTATTATGTTTCGCTTCTGGTTTATGTACAACTTGTCTCTATTGATGTCCATCTGAATAAAAAAGACCGACTTACATAGTTGTCCAAGTCTTCTATCTCGTGATCAAATACGATTCTACTAGTCCAACGATATCAAAAGAATTAATATTGTATTTTCAGGGTGTTCGGGTTTGAGTGTCACGAAGTACTAGCTACTTTTTATCTCCTTCTTAATGAGTTTAAATAGTAGTCATGTAATTTCTATTCATCCGTCTACCGTCAATATTTTTCAAGAATTATGTGAAGGATGTGACAAAGGTTAAAAATAGGCTGATAGCTATTATTTGACTTCTTTTTACCGGAGCTATTATTTGACATAACGTCTAATATTATTCAATTGATCTAACTTCAGCTAAATTGATCGATCAAAGAAAAAATAAAACAATGACTGAAATCATGTCCAAGCATCGAATCAGAAAATATTCTGATTTGCAACGATATGATTTGATTTGATGCAAATCTATAAAAAAACACTTAAGCTAAAATTGACCCATTATCGAAATTCTTGTTGGATGCCCAGGAGGTTTAGGAGTGACCATCAGTACTCAACCTTTGGATTAGTCATTGTGATTGGAAGAAGAAGAAAATGGCGAAACATAGTGAGTAAAATATTGCACGTGTAATTAAATATGTATAAGATACACACGGATAATTTAATTTCTTTCCAAATGATGGGTACATCTAATATTATGTCAAAAGATAATTATATTTAAAAAATAAATGCATAAATTATCAATTATTAGATTATAAAAATGAAATATAAATGCATAAACATACATACGTTCATATATACGCGGAAAACGCTCTGATGGAAAACGCTCTCGCTGAAACACCTCTGATGGCTCCGGCACTGACCCCCTCAGGGCGGCCGCCGGACATTGGAGCGGCGATCACTACTCTGACAACGACGGACGGGCCTATTACGACACCTTTGACATCCGATGCATCGCCAATGGTGGTGGAACCCATTTCCTCGGCCATCGACTGTTCTGTTCCTAAGGTAACCACTCAGTCACCAATCTCGTATGCTCGGGCGCTGGCCGGGGCTGAGCAGCAAGGGACGCTGGCTGTTCAAACATGGACACCGGTCGGGGAGAACGATCTTGTTCCCGGGCAGATCAATGGAGAGCCGTATTTCTGCTGGCTTCAAAGGTCGGCTATGTGCTCCATGGCAGAAAACTTTGGTAGTTCGTCTGCTAGGCCTGCGCATCAGCTTCACTGCGTTCTGTTCACGATTACGAGGGTTGTGGCGGCCTATGGGGGCAATGGAGATAATGGATTTGGACGACGCCACATATTTGGTGCAATTATCCAACGAGCATGATTATTTCAAAGCTCTCACGGATGGTCCATGGGTGATTTATGACCATTATCTCGCGGTGCAACAATGGACGCCAAGCTTTGGGATACAGGATCCTCTGCCAAAAACAATGATCGTGTGGATTCAATTACCGGCCCTCAAGGTCCATTTTTACCATCGAGAGGTTCTAACCTCCCTGGGTAATCTCATCGGACGCACAATTAAACTGGATTTTCATACGATGAATCGGCAGCGTAGGAAATTTGCTCGCCTGGCGGTTGAGATCGACATGACAAAAGCTTTGGTTCCCCGGATCTACCTGGATGATCATTGGCAAAAAGTCGAGTATGAGAACCTCCCCGTCGTTTGCTTCGAGTGTGGGAAGGTGGGTCACAGCGCCGAGGGCTGCTCCAAACGCCGTCCGGCGGCCCCATCGGGACAGTTACTTCTCGCCGACGAACAGAATTTGGTAACGCCCGGTAACGTTGAGGAGGAGACGAATCCGGGATTCGGGCCCTGGATGCTGGTTTCCAAAAGAAGCCGCCGTAACTCCAGGGATCTCAACAAGAAAGGAAAGCCAGAGCTGATTTTGGGGAACGGGCCTCAAGGGCCGATTAGTAAAAACGGGAAAGGAGGGATCAAAGCTTCAGAGAAGGAGAAAGAGGATTTCGGGACGGGATCTAAGGCGCCGAAGCAGACGAGGGATCAGGCGGCTCCAATTCAGGAAAGGAGAGGAAATCAGAATCGGAAAGGGGAGGTGGAGGCGTCTTCTGTGGCCAGAGTTGGTAACAAGGGGAAGGAAGTCGCGACAGACCTAAACGACGAGGGCAAAGGAATTCTGGGCTCGGGCCCATCAAAGTCTCCTAATAGGGGGTATGTTTCTAGGCCCAACTCCGAGGCCTGCCACCCCTCTAAGTCTGGGCAATCCGAGAGGGAGGTAAGGCTGGCAGCGAGCAGGCCAGATGAGCAGGCTTCTTCTCCGTCCGTGGGCCTGGTTTCCTCAGCGGGCCAAGCCTCAACCTCCTCTGCAGCTCACCTGATCAAGTCTTTCGTTGGGCCGAATGGAACTAGAATGCAGATAGTGGCTGTGCCGTCATCTCCAAACCGAACCAGACAAGCGGAAGTGACGTCTCCATCGGCGGGTGAACGAACAAAAACCAAGAAAGGTGCTCGGCGGCAATCCAAGAAAGGATCACCAGTGAAGTTCCAGGCCTCCAAGGCTCTGCAAATTTGGTCGCTGGTGAAGGACAGGAAGAGCAAATCCAAGGCTCGGCTGGCGACACTCACGTTGGAGGAGATCAACGCCTGGACCTGTGCCGCGGCGGAGAAGGCTGATTGGAGACCAGAGCATGACAGGAGCGAGACTAGGCGTTCCGAATAGCGGGCTCCGGCCGGGGACTTGGGTGATTCGGCCGCTCTCCAAGTTTAATCCTCCCCGGTGATGTTGCTCCTTTTTACTCTCCTGCTTCTGTTTTGCCTTTTTATTTTTATTATGTCTATGTTAAATTCAGTCAATATTAATATTCTAGCGTGGAATGTGGGTGGAGCTGGGAGTAAGCGCTTCTCCCGCGCTCTCAAGCTAGTCATTCAGTCGTACAAGCCTGATTTTGTGATTCTTCTTGAACCTCAGATTAGTGGTAATGCGGCGAATGCGGTGTGCGATAAGTTGGGTTTTCCGGATGTGATTCGGGTTGAAGCAGAAGGACGGCAAGGTGGCATTTGGGTCTTTTGGGATGCTCGGCGGTATAATGCTCAAATCATCTCGGCCTGTCTGCAGCACGTCACCATCCGCATTTCCCAGAGTCACATGCCCGATTGGATCCTTACAGCAGTGTATGCCTCTCCTCACCCCTCTCAGCAGCAACCTCTTTGGAGTCGTCTCACGGCTCTGAGTAAAGGCATCAGCATACCCTGGATCCTTACAGGGGATTTTAACGCCATCAGATCCCCGACCGAGAAGTCCGGGGCTGCCTCGATGGCGACTCTCCGGAGATGCCGCACCTTCAACGACAGAATCAATGGGGCGGACCTGTTGGATCTCGGTTACTCCGGCCCAAATTTTACCTGGACTAGGGGGGAGAATTCTGATACCTACAGGGCCAGCAGGATCGACAGGAGCCTTTGCAACATTCAGTGGAATTCCGTCTTTCCAAATACTACTGTCCGCCATCTGCCTCGCCTCAATTCGGATCATAACCCCATCCTTACCTCCTTTGCTTTACAGGGGCAATCTCCTCACTCTTCTCGTTCCTTTAAGTTTGAAGCTGCATGGCTTACTCACAAGGATTTTTTGAATACCATTGCAGGGACTTGGGATTCTACCAGACCCTTGCCGAGCGCTTTGCATTCTCTGAGCATCGCCCTGCAAGATTGGAACAGAGAAACCTTTGGGAATGTGCAGCAAAGAAAGAGACGGCTCTTAGGGCGGATTCATGGAGTCGAAAGGCATCTTTCTCGGAGTTTTTCCCCGGGGTTGGCCAAGCTCCATTCTAAGCTGGAGGCCGAGCTTGATTCAGTCTTGGAGCAGGAGGAGCTGATCTGGTATCAAAGATCGAGGGAGCATTGGGTAAAGTTTGGGGAGCGCAATACTAGTTACTTTCACCAGCAAGCCAATATCAGGAGACGGAAGAACAGGATCACCGCCCTTCGGGATCAAACAGGAGTATGGATTGATGAACCTCAGGAGCTGGCGGATATGGTCTTTGAGTTTTATACTAACCTCTACTTGCAGGATAGCTCAGCTTATGAGGATATGATGCCAAAGAATGCTTTCCCCCGGCTTGCTCAAGAGGACCTCCTTGTTTTGCTGAGACCCTTTACCATCATGGACATCCATAAAGCCATTTTCGAGATGAAACCTTTTCAGGCTCCCGGGCCAGATGGGTTTCACGCGGCCTTTTATCAACAAGCCTGGAATGTGGTGGGGAAGTCTTTAACAGATATGGCTCTGGCTTTCTTCAATACCGGAGTGTTGCCTGATAAGGTCTCAGAGTCTACTGTAGTGCTCATCCCCAAAGTCGATCATCCTGAGTATGTGACTCAACTGAGGCCCATATCGCTTAACAATGTGAGTCTTAAGGCTATCACCAAGGCGATCACTAGTAGGTTGAAGTTGGTCATGAGGAAGCTCATCTCCCCTAGGCAGAGCAGTTTCATTCCTGGCCGCCAGACCACGGACAATGTCATTGTTGTGCAGGAAGTGCTCCACTCTCTGGGGAAGCGTAAAGGGAAGAAAGGAGGCATGATTCTTAAGATTGACCTTGAGAAAGCCTATGACATGCTCTGGTGGGATTTCCTTCGTGATACCCTGAAGGAAGCGGGTCTCCCCAGCACCTGGATCAGCTGTATCATGTATTGCGTGGAGCAGAATAATATGCGGGTTCTTTGGAATGGCAACCTTTCAGCGACCATCACTCCCACTCGTGGAGTTCGCCAGGGAGACCCTCTTTCCCCTTATCTCTTTGTCTTATGCATGGAACGCTTATCTCACAGGATAGACGCGGTCCTTCACAGTGGGCAATGGAAGGCCATTAGGCTCACTAGGAATGGACCGCCCCTCACTCATCTTTTCTTTGCAGATGACCTTTTGCTCTTCGCCGAAGCAGAGACGAGACAGATCAAAATCATCAAGCAGTGCCTTGACGACTTTTGCTTTAGCTCCGGGCAGCGGGTCAACTACGGCAAGTCCTTGCTGTTTGTGTCGCCAAATGTGAGCAGATCGAAGGCCAACATTTTGAGCGCGAGAGCGGAGATCCCCCTGAAGAATGAGCTTGGCAAATATCTTGGCATACAGGGCATTCATGGCCGGGTGACGGCAAGGAGATACCAGAGCCTACTTCTGCGAATCCAAAAGAAGCTAGCCCCGTGGAAAGCAAAACGTTTGTCTTTGGCTGCTCGCCTCACCGTTTCCAGGTCTATCATTTCCTCTATTCCCACCTATCATATGCATACAGAGTTACTGCCTAAAGGAGTCTGTGCTTCTATTGATCGTATTAACAGGGCTTTCGTATGGGGTGAGGAGGACGGGAAATCCAAGCTCCATCTAGTTGGATGGGAGAAGATGATCTTGCCTAAGGATCAAGGGGGGGCTGGCCTTCGTTCGGTGAGGAATGCCAACCTGGCAATGCTTGCCAAGAGTGGGTGGAGACTCCTCAAAGAAAAAGACGCTCTGTGGACCCAGGTGGTCAGGGATAAATATGGCCGAGGTAAAGAGAACCTGGATCTTTTCCGCTCTACTCAGGGAAGTTCCTTTACTTGGAGAAGTCTTAACAAGGCTTCTCCCCTCTTAATGAGAGGTTGTGCGTGGAACATCAAGAATGGGAAAACTACTAAATTTTGGCATGACTCTTGGATTGTGCAGGAACCTCTCATGAACCTTGCGGAAGAGGAGATACCCGACTCGCGAAGGGACGAGGTGGTGGCGGACTTGACCTCAGATGATGGAAGATGGTGCATGGAACAGTTAGAGGGTCTTCTCCCGCCGGAGATACTGATGAAGATTACCAGCATGGCGGTGGATAAACTCTCCAGCGACGAGGATACCCTCTTCTGGGCTTTTTCTTCGAATGGTCGTTTCACCACGAAGACTGCCTACGAGTCCCTTCTTCCTGAAGGGAATGATCCGGATACCAAGTTTTGGAAGATTATTTGGAGCCTTCCTGTCCCGGAGAGAGTCCGTTGTTTTGTCTGGCTTGTGGGACTTGGGAGAATTGCGACTAATGCCCTTCGGTACTCCAGGAAGTTTTCTGATTCTGCGGACTGTGAGAGATGTAATGGACAGGCTGAGTCCATCCTTCACATTCTTCGAGACTGTCCCCCGGCTATGTACTTCTGGGTGCGGCAAGTGCCAAGTGCAAGGCAACAGGCCTTCTTCTCGGCAAACACTGCGGATTGGCTGCGGGGGAACCTGGCAGCAGGAGAGATTGAGCATGTGGGAATTCAGTGGCCTGCCTTCTTCAGCATTGCGGTTTGGTTGTTGTGGAAGAACAGAAATGACATGTGCTTTAAAGGTATTTCCGCCACCCTCACTCCTCCTTCCTTGACTCACTCGATTGTTGCTAAAGCCAAGCTTTGGAGCGAGGCTTGGCGAGCGCCCTCTTTGTTGCCTTTTGGTAGGAGAGCCGCGACGGCCCGGATAACGGCTAATATCGCTTGGAGCCCGCCTCCTGAGGGTTGGGTGAAGTTGAACATTGATGGTGCGTCTAATGGGAACCCGGGCCCAGCTGGAGCCGGCGGTGTGTTGAGAAATGAGGTTGGGTTTTGGCTCGGTGGTTTTGTTGCCATGGTAGGTGAAGCTTCTGCAGCTTTGGCAGAGCTGTGGCCTTTTCATCATGGCCTGGATGTAGCATGGAATCTTGGGTACCGTCAGCTTGTGGTTGAATCTGACTCGCAATTGGCCATTCAGCTTATCGAGGAAAGACATGATCCCGTTCACCCGTATGCCACGTTACTTGCGGCCATTCGCAGGAAGCTTAGCCGTGACTGGCTGGTGCGCGTTGTTCATGTATACCGGGAGGGGAATAGAGTCGCGGACTGGCTCTCGAAGCACAGTCTCGTCTATCCCTACGGTGTACAGGAGCTCGCACACCCGCCACCAGGGCTCACGACCATTCTTCAGGATGATATTCGGGGAGTTTCTTTTGAGAGGCGGATTGTATCCCGCCATTGTAACTCTCTCTCTACTCTTACCTCCATGTAACTCCTCCCTTCTTGGCTGATGCCTCCCTTTATGCAAAAAAAAATATATACGCGTATTAAATAGAGTTTTTTTCTCGACAGTCCGAAATACAATTGCATTGAAGTCTAATTATTCCCGGCCCAATGGAGAGAAAGGGGTGGGCTGTCCAGGTGAATTAATTAAGAGGCCGGGCTGAGCCCGTGCTGTAATGCTGAGTTGGGCCATGGGCGGGTTCGTGACGGGGATGTGTCTAGGTTGTCTCCAGATTCATTTACATGCAAAAGTTTGACCAGTGTGAATTGAGCATGTGATCTCACATGTGTTGCAGCCTTGCAGTTGCAGGGGAAGGGTATCTCACTGACTGATGATTCTGAACAGAGCAAATGGGTAGATGAATAATGATGACGATGATGATGCAGCCACAGCACAGCACAGGCACACCGCACAGGCAACACAGCTACTTATTTCATTACTACATTTATCATCTTTTTTCATGAACACACGGCACAGCTGGAGTGAGTCCTTCTCGAATTGGCTAACCTGTGAAATGCTCTGTTTCAACGACACACACAACAACGTTGCATTTTGGCTCTTTCTGCCTCGCCGGAAAAATGGCAAGGTTTAATTTATCCCGTTTGAATGCTAGGATTGATATATATGTACTATATAGGATTTGTAGTATGATGAAAATTAACATATCTCGTTTGAATGTTAACGATAACTAGCTTAATTTTGGATTTGTAGTATGATGAAAATTAACATAAGGATAAGCATGACGATTTAAATCATTGGGGTGAAACTTAGGGAGTGGAGAGAGGGGCAAAGGGTAATATTGTACTAGTAAGGATTGTAAAACTTGAGATTTATCGAAAAAGTTAATATTAAAATATTCTATGTTAAAATTATTGTTTAACTATAATTTTAGTTACTGTCTAATGATTTAATTTTAAATAATTTTTTTTTCATCAAATCGTCGGTACAATAAAAATTTTCAATTCTTTAAGGGCTCGTTTGCTAACGGGATTTGGATATTGTATTTGGTCTCCAAGTACAAATCATCATGTTTGTTTGTTCAAAATCATTGTTTGTTAAGGTAGGTAAATCCGTGGGGTCCCATTAACTTTCGTAAGTGCACCTGGAATTTTATTCAAACCATCATGTTTTTTGTCCAAAGTCATTGTTTGTTAAGGTAGGCAAATCCGTGAGCCTACGGTCCACGTTTTTTTAGTTCTAAATCCGTGGACCTCACGTATTTGCAAATACCAAATGAACTAAATTCATAATAAAAATTCAACTAAACAAACAATGTTATCTTTCAAATACAAAATGAAACAAATTCATCATAAATCCAAATATTTTCAAAACTCAAAACCTTCATTTTCAAATCCAATAAACAAACGGATACTTAAAGTATAAGTACAACTATGAGAGACCATGTGGGTTGGAACCTCAAAAATCAGAGTTGTGGACTACTGCTCGTGGTGGCCCATGACTCATGTTCCCCTGCACTCCATCTCCATCCCAGTCTTGTTGTCTAATGCATTAAAGCAGGTGCTTGCCTGACTGCTTCACCCCAAAAAAATATAAGAAAGCAGCTGGCAATCTTCTTCTTTTGTACAACCTATCATAGCTTCCCAGTAAAAAAAATGTTTTCAATTTGTCACCGACCAACATTAAACTCCATTCAATAATAATGAGCACCCCTGCTCACTTCCACGGTAGTTCCACCTACATCTATTTATAACCCCATTTACCTAACACATATCTCACTGTCAGTGAGACACAGCCAAATAGTACATCCCCCTGCTTCGTCTTCTTCCCCAATGGCGTCCAGATCTATGTTGTTGCTTGTACTTGCAGCTACTGTCCTAGCTGTTTCTTCCTACGCAGACCAAGATCATCCCTTCATCTCCCAGGTAACGTTAAAACCAACTCATCATTTAACTTAACTCGTCTGATCCATTTCTTTTACATGGATTCACTTTTCTTTACACTTGTGTGTTGTCTCTTTCTTTCATCCACCCAGGAGGCTGTTAGTAGCACCAAGTACGCCAAATCTCCTCCACCACCGTCTACACCGGTGGTGAAGCCAGCGCCGACTCCCTCTCCTTCACCATCACCTCCGGCGAAACCCTCCCCACCGCCACTGGTGAAGCCAGTGCCGAGTCCCTCTCCTCCACCATCCCCGCCGTACAAGAAGCCACCAACTCCGACTCCTTCTCCAGCTGTCCCCAAGCCACCCACCCATTCCCCTGCCCCTGTTCCAGTCCCCAAGCCCCCAACTGCTGCCCCTCCTTCTCCATCGCCTTTTGTCCGCTCAATCAAAGGTATTGATTCAACAGAAAGCTCAACACTTTAGCCTCCATTCTCTTTATAAGCTACGTTTTAGCTCTAGTTGGTAGTAATGTTTGATATCATCATCATCATCTATCCCCTGTTTCTGCAGATTGCGCCCCACTGTGCGCGAATCGGTGCAAGCTGCACTCGAGGCCGAATCGGTGCAACAGGGCCTGCGTGAGCTGCTGCAGCAAGTGCAAATGCGTTCCACCTGGTACCTCTGGCAACCGGGAGAAGTGCGGGACTTGCTACACTGGCTTGACCACTAAATTCAACCAGCCCAAGTGCCCTTAGAGAAGAAAACTCTCTCTGTGTGTTTCCCCTGTTTCTTTCTACTACGTATTGTTATGGGTTTATAAGCTATGAAATGTTGTATCATCGGAAAGAGTCTTGAGAGAGAGAGAGAGAGAGCAGCGGGATCGGAAAATAAAATGGGGTTGCTAGATATGTGTAATGTTTTGCGGGAGTTTCAAATTCGTTTCTACTATGTTTGATCTTGTTACCATGTCCATCTTCATCAATATAAGAGCGCTATTGTTGATCTTGAGTTCTGTTGGTTTTAACTTGCACATCCATTTTTTTCTCGAAGCAATTCAGCCCTGCAAAAAAGGTTCAGTATTATATTATGGAACCTTGCAACTTGGATAAGAATGACTCTCGGTGCATGTGTTGTCCCTGTCTCGAGGAAGGACTATAGTACCAAGGATCCCTTATGCTTGGAACTCCCCAAAAGTCAATAAAACTAAAAATGGGCCCAAAAGTCATAGCATAATGATTTATTATGCCATGGGCCTCCAGAGGCCCGAATCCGTATCGTAATATCTGAATTCAAGATCCAATCTCGTTCAACAACTTACCCCGGCGGCCAAGACTCAAACACTGCAGCCTAACCGGAACCGCTAACAGTTAACTACTTAACTGAAAAGAGGGCCGAGTTGAGCGAGAGGGAGAGGGAAAGGGGAAAAAAAGATAGGCCGGCAGCAATGAGAAGCGCCGACGGGATCCTGGGCACCAGAGCCGGAGCCGGAAGAGCGGCAGCCGATGTAGCGAGGAGAAGGAAATGGCTGAAAAGACGAGAGATATGGCTAGTTATACTTGGAGTTATCCTCCACGCTGTTTACATGCTCAGCATCTTCGACATCTACTTCAAGACCCCAATTGTCCACGGAATGGATCCCGTTCAGCCTCGCTTCACTGCACCCGCCAAACGCCTCGTCCTTCTCGTCGGTAAAGCTCGCTCCTTTGTTAGCAATTACTTTTCCCTTTGCTTGGGCAACTGTGAAGTGTTTGATAAAATGCCTCTGAGAGGCGGGGATATTGTTTTCTTCAACGTTTTCATTTTGAAACTTGCTTTATAGTTAGTTCATTGAGTTGAAAAAAGTATTGCTGCAGCTGATGGATTACGTGCTGATAAGTTCTTTGAGCCGGACGTGGAGGGATACTACAGAGCACCATTTTTGAGGAGTGTAATTAGGAACCAAGGTAGATGGGGAGTCTCTCATGCTCGGCCACCTACTGAATCAAGGCCGGGCCATGTAGCTATCATTGCAGGATTCTACGAGGATCCTAGTGCTGTCACAAAAGGTAGTCAATTGATCATTGGATTCCTTTCATCCACAATTATTTAAGATCTAGAAAGATACGATAGATGCACTTGACTGAACATATTCATTGCTTTGTGCAGGATGGAAAGCTAATCCAGTGGAGTTCGATTCAGTTTTTAATCAAAGCAGGCATACCTTTTCTTATGGGAGCCCAGATATTGTTCCAATCTTCTGTAGTGCGTTGCCCCATAGCACATGGAAGAGCTATCCTCATGAATTTGAAGATTTCGCAACTGGTTAGTTAAAGTTCATGGCTTTGAACTGCTTTTGTGAGAGGGTTTTCTCTTTAGGTTTAATTTTGAGGTTTCATAACTGGTGGAAGCTCGAGATTGTGGCATTCAAATGTTCAGTCATGGATGTGATCAAAATATATCATTTCAACGTACTGCCATGAAACTTCCATTTCGTATACACTAGCATTATTGTGTGATTTTCAGTTTTACTGAATGCTTTATCAATTCAATAGTCTTAATGCAGATGCTTCCTTTTTGGATGAGTGGTCTTTTGATCAATTTCAGAGCCTTCTGAATAGGTCAAACGAAGACCCAAAGTTGAAGGAGTTACTTCTACAAGATAAACTAGTCATATTTCTGCATCTACTGGGGTGTGATTCAAATGGACATGCACACAGGCCCTTTTCATCTATTTATCTCAACAATGTTAAGGTTGTGGACCGCATTGCCGAACGCATGTATGCTCTTCTTGAAGACTATTACAAGGACAATCGTACTGCTTACATATTTACAGCTGACCATGGAATGAGCGATAAAGGTCTGTAGACAACAATTTATCTCATCCATTTTGCTTCTTCATGCTTTAACCACAAGACATTGATAAATAGTTCCGATCCTTGCCTTCTTGATTATTTGGATACAAACAACATTAACAAGCCAGATTTTGCTTCCATTGACCTGTTATATTATCCATTTTGCAAAGAGATTTCTCATGCTTTCAGAACAGCAAAATGTTCACATCACATGGTTAAATTGTATGTAGCCATGCATTTTTAGATGTTCCAGAACCTCTTTTACATCACTGTGAAGTATCCCACTGCTTTGTTACAAAATAAGTTTTCTGAGCGCCTGTCTGTCCGCTCTTTGTTAGTCTAAGCCTTCACATTAATGGTTGCCCTAACAGGTAGTCATGGTGATGGGCATCCTACAAACACTGATACTCCCCTTGTGGCTTGGGGAGCAGGAGTCAAATATCCAAGGCCGGTATCCGAGAGCACCCATTCTGATCATGGTTTACGCTTCGTTGATGAGCATGAACATGACACACCTACTCCAGTAGAATGGGGCCTAAGTGGCATAGAACGAGTGGACGTTAATCAAGCTGATATTGCACCTCTTATGGTTATATACTTCTAACAATTCTATGTGCTGAGCTTAAAAAATTACTTTCAACTCTAAACTTTTTATATTCTCCGAGGTACTTACATTACTTTGCTTTTGCTTTTTTCTGTTGGCAGTCAACACTTGTTGGCATACCTTGTCCCGTTAACTCGGTGGGAAACTTGCCACTAGGCTACATAAGCATGATCAAGGTTAGTACAGCATTACCAACTCAGTTTAAGTTGCCGATAAACGTTATGTTTCTTCATAAGTTGCATGCTGGTCTCATGGCTCAAACCTAGGGTAGGTTTGTGTTTTCATCTAGTAAACATTTCTGAAGTATTATAATATATCAGTATTATTATATGAGTATATATATAGATACAATATGGTTTTCTGTCAAAACAAACATGATATATCTTGCATAATATGACATCTGGCTGCTAGACGATGGTTCTAGACCTGTTGAAAGTATCTCATTTTTTTTTTTAAATTTTTTTGTCCAGGCAGAAGAGGTTGAAGCTGTGTTAGCAAACACGAAACAGATTTTGACCCAGTTTCTTCGCAAATCACGTATCCTTTCCTTCTGTTGTTAAGTTCCAACACAGTACCTGAAGCCTTCCAACTTGTAGAAATTAACTGTTTTAGTGAAAAGGAGACAAGTATGTCCGATGACATAGCTCCATTTTCTGTGTCACATCGATTTCCCTGACGATCTCAGAGCTGAAGCAGTCAAGCTCCTTGGATTTCAAGCCATTTGGACCATTGGCTAATCATTCAGCTTTACTGGAGCAGATTGAATCTCTAATATCCATTAAGGACTATGAAGCTGCAGTGAAGCTATCTGAAGATCTAAGAAGCTTGGCTCTGCAGGGACTTCACTATTTTCAGACATATGATTGGTTGATGTTAATGACCATGATTACTCTGGGATACATTGGCTGGATGCTGTATATTATTCTTCATGTCCTGCAATCATATACTTCACTGGCGAGAGATATCATGAAGATGCAACCAGCTGTGCCACAGAAACATACTTCTGGAAAGAAAACTGTAAGCGTTCATGCTTGTATAGTTCACGTTCCAGAACTAGTGGGAAAAAACTATAAAAGAATTACTAATTGTAGCTAGTTGTTAGCTAATTGTCCGTATATGCAATGAACATTTCTGGTAAAATACCTAAGGATATCTTAGTCAGTCTAGCCATCCTATTTTAAACTTCTGTAAATTAAATATTTGTTAATTAAAACACTTTTGTCCAGGAAGTGTTTTCGAGACTGATGTCTTGGAAGTTGGCATGCTGCCATCTATCACAGTGCCTGCATGAAAATTATAAAGTGTGGAAATTCTATGGTTTGTGGAGACATCTTCATTGGTTTGTGTTAAGTGTGTTTCATTACTATGTTACTTAATTATTGGTCTCCTTCCGTTATTCCTTCAAATTTTACGGTTTATGATCAAAACAGCTCTAACATTTGTGGCAGCTGCCAAGTTTTACCTGTGAATCTTGGTTTCTCAAGTAACCATATTGTTTCTTTTGATGCAAATTTTGGTTTGTTTCACAGGTTTATCTGCTTGGATTTTTAGTCATGGGCATAACTTCACTTCTCTTGATTGTGGAACATTCTCCACCCCTTTATCATTCATATATCGCGATGACTGTGTTTCTCTGGACCAACATACTTGGTGAATATCGTTTTATCCAATTGATATGGAAGTACTTAAGTGAGAGAAAGTCCAAGACTGTAACTACACTGATAGCTGTTTTTTCTGTGTCAATAGTCGTCCTTGAACTCCTGGTAAGTGTATCTAGTATGTCTGCTCTTCTCAAGCTTTTTAGTTTTTATGCCATGTCAGAAGCTGCAAGTTACATAACATCTCTGCTGCTACGATTAACAGGTTCATAGCTTCACAGAAAGAAAGCTCTATACTTGGTGTTTCTTAACTGTGGGAATAGTGGCGCCTGTCTATCTTTTCAACAAGATTCCATGGAGATCATGGATACCTGTTTTTGTTTGTGCTACATGCTGGTGTTTGTCTGTTTTCACTCTGATGCCTGCAGAAATTCCTGATAATACTGAACTAGTGTAAGTTGTTTCTCGAATTTCATGCTGAGTGCTGCCTCATTTTGAAGTTGAATTGTGTTTACTGTTATTTGTATATTGGCCCAAAGTCCGAATGAGTGAAGAAGCAACAATTACATCCTATTTCATTATTATCTTATAATAATGAGTGGTCACTTGCCTGCAGGATTACGAGTGGAGTTCTGATAGTCATAATGGGAGCAGCTGCAAGGTGGCTGGATTTTCATTCGGAAGGAAATAAGTACTGGATGAACATATGTTTTCATGGGAAGGAGAAACTAAAGTTCCCAATGTTATTCTACATACAGGTGTGAAAGATCTCTATTTGTTTTTTTATTCATAGTTTCCTCAAATTTTCTTAGTTGACATTATGTATATTTTGTTTGAAAGTGTAGGCTCTTTTCGTTGGATTATCATCAATCATGGTGCCATTGTCAACGTCTCACAGAACAGAGAAACAAGAATTGCACACATGGCACCAACTGATTAATTGGTTGATTGCAGGTATACTTTTAAACTATCTATGTTTTATGTAATTCATATCATCTGAATTCCCTGCTATTAGTTTGCCTTCTACAATGAAAATCCTGGCGACAAGCGCCTCATAAGTAATCCAATATCGCCTGAAAAGTATGTTTATTTGCAGGACAAATCATTTCCTGGCATACATGTATCATATTTCTTCTATATAAGCCTTCTCAATGCATGAAGAAGCACAAATTCTATTTTCTGA